CAGACTCCTGTCTTCAGCCATGGACAACTCTATGTGGCTTTATCTCACTGCACCCACCCAGACAGAGTGTTTGCTATCTTTCCGGAGCATGAAGAAGGCTCAAATACAACCAATGTAGTATATACAGAAGTGCTTAGAGGACTCACAGATCATATCAATGATTGATGTACTTATATATATATAGAACTGACTGATCTTATGTACTATGTACTTTTAGTTTTCTTGAAATGCTGCTCATAAATGTACCTCTTTTGAAATCCACTATCAAGGCATGATCTTATTCAAAATGCATGATTTATTAGGATGCAGCCTGAGGCCAGGAAGCCAAAGGAGGGCGTAGCCCTCCTTGGCTTCCTGTGACGAAGGAACAACACTCATTTTCCTCCCCTGAAGGAGCGCGTAGCGCTCCTTCGATTTGTGCCAAAGGCACAACGGGCATGAGCTCGTAGCGAGAATCAGACAAAGATTGCAATCACAATGGAAGCCTACAGAACGTTCTGGATTCCCTTTCATTTTCATCCTCACTGTAGGTTGACGCCAGAAGTCAAAGGGACCTCGATACTCGTCACACATCACCTCAGAGAAGCAAAGCTTCTGACCGACTTTAGGGTCGCCATACTACTAATGGACGGAAAGATGTCTTTAGCGACAAAAAAACCCTTTGAAAAGCAGTAAAACTTACAAATGTCAGTCCGGGCTGGGGCATCGGGCAAGCATATGCCAATGCACTGCCAGAGGGACGAATCTCGCCACGCGCATCTCTGGCATAACGACCCAGCTCCGTTTGAAAAATGCAAAGACTGATATTTTGGAAAACGTACGCACCAAACTGAGCTACCATGCAATCGAGATAACCTGCAATTGGAATGCAAAATATGCGGTGCGCGAACGAAGCAGGCTGTTGCGGTAGGATGCGAGACGGAAGGGGCTGACGGCATAGCGAATGATATCTATGATGAGCTAAGAACGTAAATGAAAGAACTAAGATGAAAAGTGAAAATAGTAGTCGGCGTGCTACGTCTCTATGAATCCAGTCTACTGTGTGGGTTTGTCGATCATAGATTATGGGACTGCGCGGCTACTGCACTGGGGTTGCGGTATCATGAGGTGGTGTGAATGTAGAAGTTGTCTGGGCGTGCCGCGGCTGGCCTCGCTTAGTAGGTTGCGGAGCAATATATAATGCTTGCAGAAATATCATCGAATCGCAGCGAGTGGAAGATGCGTAAGAAAGACGTACCCCCTTTTCCTTTACTGTAGCAATTCCTACGAGACTACGGCCGTGATGCGAAATAAAATTTTGTTTTGAAGGCCGTCGGAGTTGCAGTGTTTCATCGTTATTCGGATGTCGTGACGCGTCATGGAGGACCAGGAGTTTTGAGGTCAGTAGTAGGAGGGTGACACACTTGAACACTATTTGGTATCGTCGATTGGACGGGGATCCTCAAGTTAAGCTGAGTATTTCATATCGTCAGCATAGAATATTCAGCACTTGTGCCACTAGCTATGTACAATAATTGAAAAAAAAGCTGGCGGGAGGCCCGATAAGTTCGTTAACGACTTTTCATCTGCGACCTGCTAGTGGGAGGTTCAGCTAAGGTGGTCTCGAGACTCTCGACTCTATTGAAAAGTCACATTGTCATTGTAAATGGAAAATAGGTCTTCAAGGCCAACTTTTCGAGGATAGCCTGAATATGCCATACATATACATCTTTGTCACTGGGAATGACTAGCACTCTTCCAACTGTTCCATCAGCAGAAAGGGTTTCACATTCCACTCTCTCGTCGTGCTGGAGGGGAGGGTCGACTGAGATTAGGGTATAGCACGGGTACACCCGCGGGTCGGAAGATCAACACCGTACCCGTACCCGTCAACACCGTACCCGTACAGATACGGGTACGGTATTACCCGTACTAACCCGCGGTATGGCAGCTTACCCGCGGTGTTGCATTTACCCGCGGGTACACAAACAAAAAATAGTGAAACTACGTAGAATAACCTTATCCAACGCTCTCGTCCTCTCGTTTTCTTTTCTTCAGAGACTTCATGATCTTAGTAAGGTCCTCGGGCGCTACCAGATCACAGCGGAGCCATGAGCCAAGACAGAGGAATGCACGGGTTGATGCTGGAGACAAGCGGTTTCGAGTAAAGTGCAGAAGGTGCCGGCCTTGCGAAAATACACGTTCAACTGCAGTTGAGGTAGCTATGGTGTGTGATACATAAGCTGTGATGCTAGCGAGAGCAATGGTGCACAACCTACCAGGAATACTAAGGTAATCAAGTGCCATCCGGTGCAAATTTGGATATGTCTTTTGATTATGGACCCACCATTGCAGCGGGACTTTGGTATTCTCCACTGGTTGCCGCAAATAGTTGTCAAGCTCATCTACTAGAGATGCCGCTATGCCAAGAGATATGTCACCAAAGTCATCAGCGCATTGTTGCACCTTGTCTTCTGCCAAGACATGTGCAGCTGGAGTCGAAGGTAAGACCTGGTCTTTGTAACGATCTATGTACTCTTCTCGAATGAGATTTTCGGCAGCCTCAATCCATTCATCTTCCCATTTTTGTAGTCGGAAATATTCGAGCTTCAGGCCAGGGTGGAGAACTAGCGAGACATGGGTCAGCACAAACCACCTCATATTGAAACAATTGACAACTTATGCTCACCTGTTGCGATGCGATACGTGTTTGAGTCATCAGTCATTTTCCAGTATCTATCCATTTTCTTGCGAGCAAGTTTCATCGCAGCTTGGATGGCTGGTTGGAACCCCTCTTTCGTCTCAACATTGCTCATATGGCTATCGAGTTTGTCCATTGCAGGTATGACTGCATAGACACTGGCCGAGTTGCGTGAAAAAAAGAGTGTAGCCTGCTTGTAACGCTAGTGTTGAATTGAATAAGTCCTGAAAATAACTCGATCAGAGGCTAAGTGAGCTACCTCCAGTACAGTGACAAGTTCCTCGACAACAGTCCATTCATTGTTTTCCAATCGATATTTGCGGAAATTGGGCAGTTTCTTGTCGCCAGTAATCTTCTTGATGGGCTTCCGGTACTTGACTGCAAAACGCAGTATGTCATGTGTGGAGTTCCACCGTGTGACGACGTCTCGTGGGATAAGGTTTGCTTTGAGACCGGCCTTGTTGCAGCGAGAATGCCAGATAGGGAGTGCTTTGGTAGTTGAATGGATAATTGCAAATGACAAAAGACGGATCTATACAACGAAGTATGTGATCACATACCTGCAAGAGCGTACCAATGCGTTCTTGGCACTTTTCAAATGACGCCCGAATATCACGAGAGATTGTAAAATGTGATGGCAGTTCGATATTAGGGCATCCAGAAAGCAGGAGATCACGAAGTGCACGATCATTGATTATATTCACAGGTCGATTATTCTGTGATCCACCGTACGAGATTTGCCCTAAATCCAGTGTGAATAATGTCAGATGTTATTAAGGCCCAAAAATGTCGACTTACCGAACTTCATTGCTCGTGTGCATTCGATATGTATGATGGACAGGTTGTTGTCCTTTTCGAGCAAAAGCCGAGAAAACTGATCCACTCGTGGCCTGTACTACCTTTCCACCACTGAATGCATGATCGACTGCCTCTTTGCCCCAGCAGCCATTGGCGTGGTGCCTTAGATTCGTAGTCAAGGACTTATCCTTGGAGTCCTGGAAGCGGCGGACACCCCCGGCAGGGAGTTTGCACTTGCGTGCCCCGCAAGGGAAGAAATGAACTAGACGTCCATCGAGATACTGGACAGTCACAGCGTCAAGCTTAAAAAAAGAATAGACTGCTGAACGCCAAGTTTTTTTGAGTGCGTCTGTGAGTGAAAATTAATCAAGGTCCATGCAGACACGAGCAATAAGTTCACATACTTAGATCGGCCTCATCGTCCTGTTCAGCAGCAGGAGGTGCATCATTTTCATCAATATCAATTACTTCCGGAGCAGGAGAGTGCAACTCGGAGGGGGTTGCTTCGACCTGTGGAATGATAAGCTTAACACGTTTTGCAACATTGTCTGCCGCTATGGACTGCGGACTCGATGATGATACATCTGAAGTTTCTGAACGTGTAGACTCGGCGATCGAGGCCATCTGATTGACCATAATGATGGAGTGAATGGAGGGAGTATTGAGAAATGTAGAGTTAAAGTGATGTATATCGAAGCAGACAGGCGGGACCTAGACAAAGGTGCGAATATCTCAGTATTCGCATTGAAGACTCTCTACTAACAAATTCTATACCTAGATTATAAGGTGCGTGCGTCAGGTACTGTGATATAAGATAAAATGGACTGAAACATTAGAGGGTGCGAGCCGACGTCGACAGGTCGCTCACCGTGCCCGTTTTGGATGCGCATCTCCCCTTGTGCCTGTTCTTCGGCCGTCCCGTCCTTTCCACTCTCGGTTCTATCGGAGACACCCGTAAACATACCCGTATACCGTGCTAACGGGTACGGTATGACCACGGGTACCACATCTCGACACCGTACCCGTACCCGCCATACCCGTGACCCCCATACCCGCGGTGTGGCCCATACCCGTGCTATACCCTAACTGAGATGTCTGTGTCGAGATTCCATGGACGCTCTGTTTTATCAAGTAATGCGCTCACAAGGAGGCGGTTGTTCTGGTGATGGTCACGGTGTTGGTAAGGTTTAAGGATGGCGAATTTCAGTCTGCTTTCATATTATGATCACGCGCCAAGAAGTGTACGTCGGAAACGGCCGGTTTGATCATGAAAACTTTGTAGAAACGTAAGTCCCTGGATCTACTACCGCCACCGATGGCCGGGGTGTTTCAAGCCGTTCGAAAGCAAGAATGAAGGACCCACACAATAATTTCAACTTTATCATGGGCCACAGATGACTCAACCGTAGCTTTTTATCAACTTTGTACCAGTCGACTTTACACAAATCAGCCAGTGAAACGCTGCATCGCCATCATCATTGACTCGGAGCTAATCGGAACCAGTGTGTTCTTAGTCTTTATCATTTACACCTGTCAGGGGCGGGCGGCGCCCGCCCGCATCTCGGCAGGTGTCTAGCTCATTCATAAGAGACAAAACAGTAGCGTGATGTGTGCAAAACCCGTTCATTCTACTACCTCTCAATCCAAAGCAGATGGAACCTTCGGCTGACGATGTCCAAATTGCAGTTGCCTGGGGTCTGCATTACTTAGCGGTGCGTCGCTTTCTTAATACCAGGGCGAAACGATAACAGATACCCATATCATGACAATCATGTGCGGCTACCAGTACATACGCAGTGCGTGTGGTCTTATTTACTTCTCCCTCGTTCTAACTCGACAACTCAGTGACCCAGGCTACATTCTGGGTAGGTCCTAATCTATTCCTGTCTGTCGAGTTAAACCTGTTTATCCAGACCTATGATTACGTTTGTCTTCTTCACGAAGAGGTGAGCAGTGCAGTTGTTCCGCGATACGCCTCGCCTGGTATATTGATGATATGTTGTTCCAAGTGGACGTTCCTGCGTCAGTCGCGCTGGACTAGGGTAAAAGTCATTTATATATTTGCACGATATGTCCCCTTTTTCTCCATGGCTTTGGGCCTATATAGTGCGTTCATTCCAAACGAGCACACATGCCCCCGGTAATGAACTAAAATGCTGTGCTTCAGTGGCCTTTGCACCAGACGAGAACCCCGATGTATGTGAGCGCGCAGTTGTATTCACCCACTGATGAATGATACTTAGTAACTGCATGACTTGGTCAGAAATGCAGGGTGCTAATCGATATTTACTCGTGTACGTGCATGGTAATCGATCAATGGCTGCACTTCCTGGCTAAGCGCCGCTCTTTCCTCTCGCAGGTTTTGGACTGATATCACTCACTTGCTCCGAATGTATCTGTCCTTCTCCTACGACATGCACATGCTCCTGATCCTATTCCTTCAGGGATTTTTGTGCTCAGAACATGTGCGCTTTGGAACAACAATCGGATCTTACGCGTAGTCATGCAGACCACCTTTTTTGTGAGTTTCATACCCTGAGCACACCTGAACAATGTTGATTCATCAGCCAGGCTGTTATTACAATATCCGCTGGCCTTCTTTTTACGGGAATAACCCTCTCATATGGTCTGTGCTCTCATGGGCCTTCCCCACTACTATTCGCACACATTCACTCCTCTGGCATAGTCGTGACCAGCATGATCCCAGGCATCACAGGATGTTACTGGAGCTTGGGCGGTGTCTTGTATTCCATGTCGTTTGTTTTCTTGCTTATATGTCAATTGGGTATGTCACCGGAAACTGGAAACATCAATTACATATACACACTGGCTGATGCTCTCCTCAGGACTGTTCTCCCTCACACTCATACATGTCATACAGAGCTGGCGGACAGCCAGGGGGCATCTGTACACTATCCTGGTAAAGCATAACATATTCTACTATGCATGCGGTGTCTGTGAGTCAGGACTTCATATTTCCATGCCCATCAGTGATGATTATTGTTCCGAAAGTTCTCTCGGCCATGAATGTCCTCACACCATTGCTGTTCTCTGATGTGTGTAAATCTCGTAATATCCAATAAGATCGAGCCATTGACGTTACGCACACCCAGTCGGTATTTCACTCGTTTGAAGAGTACGCACCTCCAACTCCTGTTGCGAATTCCTAATACTGACAACACCTCTAAAATGCAGTTTGGAGATCTGTGTCCTTGCGATCCTCGCTACACGCATGCACCTCTATCTCTGGCACAGCAACCAGCAGCACGTGAACAGCTCTGGTTTGCAGACATTCCTATCAAATACTTGCATATTCGTCGGATCGGAGCCCGAGGTGACCGAGTAAAGTACTTCCTTTGAGGCCTTGACCTCCGAGTCAAGAACGTGATAGATTAAAATGTACCCATATCGATCGAAACCACGAGTGACGAGGGTCAATCAGACTCTGCTATTTGCGTGTACTTTTTTTTCGCTAAAGACATATTTTCGTCCATTAGTATGGCAACCGTAAAGTCGGTCAGAAGCTTCGCTTCTCTGAGGTGACGTGCGACGAGTATAAGGTCCCGTTGACTTCTGGCATCAACCTGCAGTGACGATGAAAGGAAATTCGGGATGTTTTGCATGCTGACTTCCATGCCCCGCACCATTCTGATAACAATCTGACTCTGATTCTCGCTATGTCTACGTTGTGTGACTTGTACTTATAGTACATATCGATTTGCCACACTTTTTTCTTGTTCAATCCGGCTCGAATATTTTTTGACACGACTATGTTGTTCGCTGTATGTACACGCAAATAGCAAAGTTTGATTGACCCTACGACGTCACTCGTGCTTTCGGAGATCGCAGTACACCAGTAATAAACATAAAGCAGTGATAGCCTAGCCCATGCCGTCATCCGCCTTGAAGGCTCGATGACGCCGACTGCACCAGAGTCCAGACAGAAGGAAAGTTGATGTTTTTTTGGTTGAGCGAGGACTGGCAGCTGCTGACTGGTCATGATTAGTCGGAAGTATGAAGAATGATGCCACATCCCCTACCTCGTTTAGCACGTCGTTATCGTCGGCACCAAGTTCCAATACGTCAATGTCGCGTCAGCCTTCGCAAGGATGATCTTTTCCGTGTCCATAGTGAAACGTAGAGCCTGTATAAGTTGAAAACACAGTTTGTCAGACACATGCAGTATTTCAACTGGTCGAGACGTACATGACGACTGGACGCAACCTACATGTCTCTGAGGCCACCTGCATTGTGCGACATACAGCGGACGATACTTCTCCCAAACCTCTAATAGCCTTCACGACCCTTGAAAGTCTCTTGATTGTATGTGCGAACGGATCCGTCGGTTGTAGTATGTACAGAGTAAGTCTGCACGATCGCATCAGTATGGAATTTGATGGAAGCCCGTACCTGGAGGCCTGAGGCCTGAGCGCTGACTTGGGAGATCGTTTGGCCAGACATGAGATCAAAGTCCGCATTGGATTAAAAATCTTCCTTTTAGAGAAGCACCGCCCATGCCACCGGCAACTTAGACTCAGCCAGCCGCAGCTTTCTAGAGCAGTAGAATCTTGGAACAATCAATCACCTCAACCACTTGAAATATGGCAACTGCAAGCGCCACTCCAGGAGCTCCAAGGTCAATCAATGACCTGAAACAACTACTTTTCTTCGATGCCAAGGTTAAAGTTGCAGGTCGGTTGTGATTGGAAAATACGATAATTGATGTTCACAATAGTACTTTTTTGTTACCCTACAGGCATAGATGGTGCACCCTGCCTTCCGACCATTGAATAAGTCGAATGCTGATTTCCATCTCAAGTGGATGGCGTCCTCAGAGGGAAATTCATGGTATGCTTCTTATTGAGTCCGTCCTCGTCAATATTTGATTTGTTACTCGCAGTCCAAAGATAAGTTTCTAGGCGCCGTTGCCTCAGAAGGATTTGGATTTTGTAGCGTGATTTTGTACGTCTCATTGTCACCCCGATTCACTGTCATGATACAAGTCACGTTGCAGCGGCTGGGACATGCACGATTCAGTTTACACTCGGGAACTGGCCATATCAAATAAAGAGAATGGTTACTGCGACATAATGGCTTCGATAGACTTATCGACATTTCGTCGCATACCTTGGGAAAACAACGTACCTTTTTTTCTTGTCTCATTCTTTGATCCGAAGACTTCAGCGCCTATTTGCGCGGATCCTAGAGGCGTTCTGCGTAAAGTTGTCGACAATGCGGCCGCTCGTGATTTGGAATGCATCTCTGGTGTGGAGTTTGAGGTGAGCAATCTCAGCCAGTTGTGCGTTGCTCTGAATGAACTTATGAGGCTTTCTAGTACTTTAATTTCAAAGGTGCGTCCATGAAATTTCTCATCTACCGGATGTGATTTAAAGGGATTTGTTCAGAAACCCCCGAGTCCGTGGCTCAAAAGGGCTTCACCCGGCTGCAGCCATTAACCCCAGGAAGTGAGCAAAGTAACTGTTCGCAGCACATTCGCTAATTAGAGTACCGCAGTGCATGGATATAGCTTATTGCGCACTCAATTGAACCAAGAATATTTTCACGCGCTGTTCGACGAGAGTCTGAAGTTTGGCATAGATATTGAAGGACATCGTACGATGATTTATCCATCATAACAGTGATGACAACTGACTCCTGTGCAGACACCGAAACGGGTCCAGGTGTTCTTGAGACTGCGCTCGCTTATACATCGGCTATGAGAATAGCGGACAATGCTATCCTGTACAAATTCTTGGCGAAGAGTGTTGGGCTGAAGCATGGAGTCCTCCCTAGTTTTATGGCAAAACCATGGGGAAATGTGAGTCGAATTTTAGTAGAATCTGTTACAATCTCACGGAAACATTGCTTCAGCTACCAGGCTGCAGCGGGTTTGTATCGATATCTCATTTTGCGTCCAAAACTTTTCTGACATCAGCTCAGACATGTACATGTGTCACTCAAAGACAAAGAAGGCCGCAACGCGTTCTCACTTTCAGAGGCGGACCGTGATCATGGACGAGCTAATGCAGCATTCGAGGACACAAGATACCTAAGCCAAATTGGGGAGCACTTTCTGGCAGGTGTATTGGACGGCCTTCCTGATGGTATGATTTTTTTTTCGGTTAAGGTGGAAGTTAATGCTAAACTGATGATGCAGTGATGCCTATGGTGAGTACCCGACTCCCACAAATGTGATTTTTATCTGAAAACTTGGGAGCTTGTCCCAACGATCAATGGCTATAAACGTCTCGTTGGTGGTGAAGCCTTTTGGGCTCCTAACGCAGTTACATATGGGTACGATTCTCGTGCAGCTTCCATTCGTATCATCTCGCCACCGTCCGTTCCACCATCCGCAACAAGACTTGAAGTTCGTGTACCTGGTGCCGATATGAATCCCTACTTTGCCTTAAGTGCCATCTTCCAACTGGGCATGCGGGGCATTACCAAACAACTCGAACTTACGATACCCCCCATCTCTACTCACCAAAGCTACCCAGCTAGGAAGGAGGTGAACTAGGAAATGATCTTGCAGTATCATAACTCTAACTATTTACGAATAGGTTGTTTCGCTTCCTAGTTCGTTGGAAGATGCGACCAACGCTATGATGAGGCCTGACAGCATTGCCCGTGAAGTGTTTGGAGATGATTTCGTGGACCACTTCGGAGCAACCAGGGAGCATGAGGTGAGACTTTGGAATGCAGCAGTGACAAATTGGGAAGGTAGGCGGTGATAAACTATCTTTTCACTTCATGCATTAATCGGGCCTTACAGTTGAAAGATACCTTGAACTTGCATAAGAAATAATGAGACCTTTACGGGCGCATATAGATGGCCCCTTTACCGTGTAATTTTACTCCGATCACTGAGTTCCTTGATTGTAACATGCATCACAGATATTTGACTTGGCATGCCGCATCTGAGATGTGTTCATAATCTCTCCAAGCGTGTTACCCTTTGTTATCTGTCATTTTGCTTGTCACCCTTCGGATCGAATAAGTGTTTGGCGGAGATACCAACCCATCCACTTTCAGGCAGGTGAACGTTCGCACACAGCCATCAAGACTCTTGTGTGACAAACGCGCCCACAATCGTCTTCAACAGTATAGGTATCGCATGTTACCAACTGGATTCACGTCACATCGTTCCAGAATCTGCTTCCTATGACCCATGAGGACCCTAGTTTCACCCTGGAATGGCGCACTCATTGCGCCTTTATGTTGCTTGGCTTCTACTCACTTATGTAAGAGGCACCTCGTGGGCGAAATCCTGCTTTCGCTCCTCCACCGAATGCAGATAGAGTTTTCGCCTGACACTGTCGTAGCGGCGAGCAGTCTGCAGACTTGTACGGTGCGTCTCTTTCATGTGATAGGATGGCTGTTGACCATTGACGGATTGAAACAACCAGGCCTTTACAGGCGCATATAATGACCCCTCTATTGTGCAATCTAACTCCAACCATCCAATGCCATGGTTTCGAATGGTGTGGAACTGCATCAGGCTATCCTGTTTGCCTGTGTCGATTTGCTACATATCTGACTTTCCGTCGACAATGTAACACCCTTTCATGGATCATCACGTGATCCACCCTTATGTAACTCCAAATGTCCATTCACGTCAGCATGAACGTGAATAGCTGTTTTTCCATGAGAACACTCCACCGGCAGGCCCTGGGCCAGCTTCAGCCCGGAGTGGCGTACTCATTACGCCGTTATCTTGCTCGGTTCCTGACCCATCTATATAAGAGGCAAAGGTAAATGCCCCCGCGTAGAAGTTCCCCTTCTGCCCCTCCTCCGAGTCTGAATGCAAACGGAGTATTCGGCTGGCAACATCGCAGCGGCGAGGAGTATTCAAACCTACACGGTACGTCTCTTTCTTTTGAACAAGATAGTCGTTCATAACAACATATATGATGCATATGGAATCAGTATATATACAGTGCGTACTATATGAACCAGCTTCTTTCTTGTCCTAACGCGGCTCAGCTTCGGCGGCTACATTCTGGGTGGGTTTGTCCTGATACATATTCCATCTGCTATTGACCTTGCGGGTCCAGACCTATGACTATGCTTGTTCGCTTGACCAGGAGGTAATCCCCTTGTTTACGATAAGGTTCTTTTGTTATTCAGTGATAACATGCTTGTTTCAAGTTGGCGTTCCTGATTCAATCGCGTTGGACCAAAGTAAAAGGCCTTTATATCCTTACACGCTATACGCCTTTTTTCCTCTTCGTTTCACACCTATATCGTGCGTTCAGCCCAGATCGCTCTGGTGATGATCAATGGATTGACACGTGCTTCAGTGAACTTCGTCCCGGACAATAATCCCGATGTACGTAATATCGCGGTGGACTTACTGACTGAACGACGCTCACTGGCATGGCATTACCAGAAATGTCAAATGATCAACAATATTTGCTCATGTACGTGCATGATCCCTGCATGCACGTCCTGAACGCTCCTCTTCCCTTTCACAGGTTTCAGTCTGATTTCAGTCATTTGCTCCGAATGTAACTCCTTCCCCTGATTCATGTGCGTTCCTCATCCGATCCATTCAGGCTTTTTCATTATCAGGACATATGCACTCTGGAATCACAACAAAGTCGTGCTCGTCGCCATGCTAGCCGGTTTTCTTGTGAGTCATTACTCTACTGCACCCAAAGCTCATGGTAAATATATTAGTCAGGCTGTCATCGTAGCTTCCGTCGGTATCCTCTTTAGCGCCACTGCCAACGCACCATGTATGCACTCCACCTTCTCTTTGACGTTTTATCATCACTCACACACTTGTCGGCTTGGATGTCACAGTTGAAACCAGCACGATCTCGAACATCACAGGCTGCTACCAGTCTACAGGCAGTGATGAGCTTTTCGTGCCGTTTGTTCTCTTGTTTGCTCTTGAACTGGGTGCGTCACAGGAAGCATACGTATACACGGACGCGCACTGACTAATGCTCTCCTAAGGGCTTATCTCTCTTACGCTCGTACGCGCTATACAGAGCTGGCGAACAGCTCGTACCCCTCTGTATGATGTCCTGCTGAAGCATAACATATTCTATTATGTATGCGGTCTATGTAAGTCATTCCACAGATTATTTTATCGTCACTATGCTCACCGATGGTCATTATTGTCCTGAAAGTTTTTTCGACGGTGAATGTATTCACATCCCTGTTCCTTCGAGTGAGTAGTACACTCTCCACACTCCATCCTCAAGACTAATCCATTTATTTTCTGCACGCTCAGTACGCGTACAACGCTATGTTTCAAGAGTACGTCCCTCAAACCATGCTACACATTCCTACTAATAGACCCCCTCCACAATGCAGTTTCCAGCTCATCATCCTCGCGATTCTTGCCACGCGCATGCATCTCCATCTCTGGCATGTCGACCGACAGATACACTCTTCCGGTCCCATGCTCATTCCTTTAACTGATGTATCATCTGTGGGCCGCACGGGGTGAAATTGGAATTGGCTTACTTGTTTGTTTGATGTCGTTCACGGAGTCAAGTTTGGACAATGCAAAGAGACTAAGGACCCTTCATGCGCTTGTCACCATTTCTCTTTTGTTGAGGGGCTTCTCTTGTTATGAACCTCATACATCATGGCTTCGTCTTCAATGTTCATCATGTGCTGTGCATTCTCCACATCAACCTGTACCTTTCATTCCTGTTGTTGTAACAGATCAGCATATCACTGACAATGGTCTTTCTGTTATCTCCTCCTTTCTACTCCGGAGGTTGTCACGGTGGAGTATTGAGAGTGCGGTTTACTACTGCTCAACGGTATCCAGCTGTGTCTCCTGAGCAGTCTCCGTCATGTGATCATTAATTTTCCTATGATGACTCGTGCTCATTTTGATGATTCAGCCTGCTCTCATTCACTTTTCAAAATGTCTTATACGTGTGACTATGATTGTGATTTGCTCCATGTTCATTTATGTGACGAACACTAGTGATTTGCTCTTCATATTTAAGCATTTGTTGCACATACAACACTGATTTGATGCAGAAGCTTTCCCTAAGCCTTTTTCTCAGTTGAGCAAAAAGATGTGTGCCCTTGCGAAGGGTTCTGATGCAACACTTCCTGAGATTGAGCACATCGCTACTCGAGAACAAGACTGTGGCGTGCGCATGGTTACCCACACGACCTGACATAGCAGCATGATGATTCTGATAGTTGGGGGATTGGATATTGTGGAATGGCAAGCCATGGCTTCATTAGAAAAATATTTAAGAAATAGCGGGGTTGTGGTATATCATTTTCGGCTCAACTTGATGCCGGCGGGCCAGGGATGGCAAGCGGACCTCAGTCACCATATTTGGTCCTGAGGACCCCAGAACACCTGATACGACACCACAAAGCCTTGACTTCTCCACGACGGACACTTAAGCTCACTAATCAATTTGCTTGCAGCAGCAATGGCAGACCCTTCAAAGGCGGAATCAGAGCAGATTTTTCAAGTGCTGAGATTGCAAAAAGGCAACAAGGTCAGTATATTTCAACCCACTTGTTATAGTCGTTGACTTCCGGGGTTTCAGACATGCTTTGATTGTCAGGCTCGAAATCCGACCTGGTCCAGTGTGACTTTTGGAGTTTATATATGCCTAGACTGCTCTAGCATTCATCGGAATATGGGCGTACACATAAGTTTTGTACGGTGTGTGGTCTTTCCGTAAAACTGATGTCCCCGCGGGTTCTTATCACCGCGAACGGCATGACAGATCGACGAATCTCGACAGTTGGCAACTAAACCAGCTTCGTACCATGAAAGTGGGTGGAAACACATCGGCGACTGAATTTTTCACGCGACATGGCGCCACGATGCTTCTCAGCGATTCCGACACTAAGAAGAAGTACTCAAGTCGTGCTGCTGAGCTATATAAGGAAGAGCTTGCGAGACGAGTGAAGGAAGATATTGCAAAGTGAATTGTCGAGATGCTTGACAGGAACTTAATCTAATTGTTATTGTTTCTCTCAGGTTCCCTACGCATATCGCGGTCGATGGCGTTGACACACCTCTTGTGAGCGCTGAAACTACGCAAGGAGAGGATGATTTCTTCTCTTCATGGGAAAAGCCCGCTGCTTCAAAACCAGTTTCTTCCTCAGCTATCACATCTCCTCCTATCATTGGGCGACCAGCATCAACGGGCTCAGCTACTTCTCGACCAACCACATCTAGTTCCATGCGATCAAACTCTAGTCCCTCTACGAACGGCATCACTAAGCTCGGTGCAACACGTTTAACATCATCTACTTCTGCGATCGGTTCATCAGCCACCTCTACCTCTCAGAAGAAATCCAAACTTGGTGGCCTTGGGGCGAGGAAAGCAGCCACCCCGATAGATTTTGCGGAAGCGGAACGTAAAGCTGTAGAGGAAGCTGAGCGTATCAAGCAGCTTGGCTACGACAGACAACGTGAGGAGGAGGAAGAGCGCGCACAGAAAGAAGCAGAAAAGATCACTTCATCACAAGTGAGGGTGAAGCCTGCTGATGCTGTGCAGACGGGCACTGTGCAGGGAAAAGTTGACTTGCAAAAGGGCAATAGCCAAGACCTCGAGAGGCTAGGTATGGGCTTCCGTAAGCTTGGCTTTGGGGCAGTCCCTACCGCTTCACCTTCATCGACTGCGAGATCAAGGTATATCGTGATCTCAACTGGAAATTCAGTAAAATTGATCTATCTTCTAATCGTATAGTCCTGCCATTGATGACGCACCAACCACCGCACGAGACAAGTTTGGCAATCAAAAAGCTATCTCGTCGGACATGTACTTTGGCCGAAAGGATTACGACCCTAATTTCGTCTCCGAGTCTCAATCTCGTTTACAGAACTTCCAAGGTGCTACATCTATTTCCTCTAACCAATACTTTGGTCGGGAAGAAGAAGAAGAGTTCGAGCGTACTAGTTCAGATGGTGGGATGTTGGGCGATGGCAGTCTTTCGAATCTCGAAGTCGCAGCGAGAGACATCGTGGCAAGGGTCATGGCGAATCCTGACGTCCAGAACGTCGGGGAGAACATTAGAACCAGTGCACTGAAGGTGACTATCTTATTCATTCCCTTGCACGTGGCTGGTGCTTACTGTGCAATTCAGCTTTCGGATTATTTGGCGCAGATGTCTCAGCATTAAGTTAAACGATTTCAAACACTTTAATATCCTCGCCGACATACATCTCGAGTTCTTTTTGTTATATTTCTACACATGTGTTTCTAGTTACCTGCAAAGATCGTGGTCAAGTTGAAAGCACGTGACTTACTGCGGCGTTGTTTGGCAAAAGCCTCTGAAGTAAACAAAAGTGGGAGACCCAGAATTTATCCAAGGCAAATGAGCCCACCATGATTAGGTTCATCCTCGTGCAGGCAGGTGCACTCTTCAGCATGAAAGACCATGTGCTCAAATGATATGCGCTCAGAACCGTCAAGGGAAGACACGATTGTCGAAGTGGTATGTCCCATACGACGACGACGAGAAGGTGCGATAGACGCTATTGAGAATTTCCATGCCGTTGACTATGTGCTCAGGTGAGACTCCGAGGTGAAGTGCACAGACTAGTTGCTCCGCGCGACCAGAAACACCAGTCGAACTTTGTTGAGGTGAGCACAGAACGACATGTCCCGCATCTTCTAATTCTCATGACGTGGAGTAGTTCAAGAACTACAAGATCGTGTACAGGCGTTATGCCGGTCTCTTCTTTTGCGTATGTGTCGACGCTAATGACAATGAGCTGGCATATCTAGAGGCTATCCACCTCTTTGTCGAGATCCTTGGTGAGCGACTCGTTTGCACCCCATGGGCCGAGCCTACTCGCTGACATTGATCCAGACTCATTCTTCGACAATGTGTGCGAGCTGGATCTTGTCTTCAATTTCTACAAAGTGCGGTTGTGTTTATCCCTCGTACGCATTGTTCCTGACCTACAACAATCACAGGTGTATGCCATTTTAGACGAGATATTTTTGGCGGGAGAGATTGAGGAAACTAGCAAGGATGTGGTGTTATCGAGGTTAGAGGAGCTTGAGAAACTTGAATGATGGGTCTTACGTCGTGGTTTGTGAGTTCGCCAAACGATGTGAGATTGATTCCCATGTGACACAGCTCTTTCTAGCATCTTATCGTAACAGGGACTTTATAGTAGCCAGGATATTTTCGCCTTGTGACTTACCTTGCTCCACATGAATGGATTTACTACTTTTAACGCTTTGGTGCGCTCTATCTTACAGCCACTGGCATCAAGCCTTCGGACGGTGCATCGAATGCTTGCCGAGTGGTTCCAATCTACATTTTCACCCATGTCCATGAATGACTATGCTACCTATTATTATCCATCACAATGAAGGTGCGTGTGCACTTCCTGACTCCATTGGCAAGGCCTCGTTTTTTTCATGGTAGCGAGCAATGGAGCTATCACAATCGATGCCGAAATATGTTCCAATCTTCGAATATTTTACATTGCAGGCCGCCGTCCTATGACTTCTTGATAAGGTACTATTGCTTCTGTAGATCGCGCGCGCTCAAGCTGACTTCTACTGATGTGACGTATGGCCATCACCTCAGTGGCATCGAATCGGACACGGTGATAATTGTCACTTGGAGTATATGGTGGGGCTTCTTGTTCCTGCGTGAGAACCCCGTCTGGATGACGGAAGCAGAACCTGAAGGTCTGGCGCTTTCGAACATGAGTTTTCCTTTCCATAGAAAATAACAGCCATCTTCCATTCCACTTGATCTGTTCAGGGAGCCGTAGCGCGCGACGGCGCCCTTCAAATTTACTCTATATCAACCTTTCTGGATTGCACCATGCATAAACCAGCAATTATGCCATGACGTGAGTGTTGAATTCACATGCAAATCACATTGAGTTTAGTCACAAACCGTATGATGTCATGACTGCTCGACGTCATACACACTTGCCTTTTTTGTACGCCATCTCGGAGGAGTATAAGTACTGGCAGCTATCGTTCCTACCAGCCAACCCACAACCAACTTTACTATTTATCAACGCTTTATCAACTCAATCAACTACTCTCATCATAATTATGTCTTCCCAAGAGCCCAGGTAAGCGCTTTGCCCGCCCCCTCTCTCGATGACAAGAACTCACTTATTCTCCTATAGCAAAGTATCCGGTCAATTCCACTCTGTCAAGGGTACCGCCGTCGAGACAGTACGAGCTCATCACACCACCCGCCGCCGGCCTGCTGATTTTTCTCTCTAGATCGGCGACGTGACCGGTATGCAATCTTGGACGCAGTCGGGTAAAGAAGAACACGCCAAGGGGGAGGGCGAGTACAACGCTGCCCAGGCGAAGGGATACGTGGAGGGTGTCTCTGACAGGGCTACCGGCTACAAAGATTCAGTCGTTGGCGCTGTGACTGGCGATAAATCCCAGCAAGCCACTGGTAGGTAATACTTGTAGGATGGCGGCTGACGTGTCTGACAAGTTATTTATTAGGGAACGTCAAGAACGAGAAGGGCCAGACACAGCAAGAGATCAACAAGCCCACTACATGAGTTCTAAGCCTGTCTCCTTATATTTCCCTTCCTCATCGACTTTGGAGTGGATATGCAATAGAACCCTTTTACATGTATTAGTGCCTATCAATTTTTTGATACTTCAGAACAATGAATGTTGTCCATTGTACCAATTTCAGTCGTTGTATTCACAGGCACCCCCAGAATCTCAAAAATTCACAGCGACATCGAATATAGGCGTTCACGTCAGCTAGTATACTTCTGTCAGCCATTATTATAACCTGCGGAATATCAGCACGACGACTGCCGACTGTCGCCATCATGCGCAAACCGTCGACATAAATCAGATGTTGCGAAACGGCAGTATGATGCCATGTCCTCACGGTAGCATGACGTCGAAAGCCATAGCACAAGTTCTGCGAGGGCTTCTTCGCTCGACAATGAAGGTTACCCAAGTTACACTTGGTAATAGTAGTGTAGTACGGTGCTATGTGCAGTTGGTCGCAGATCAGTACGATTCCAAGGTCTCATTTGTACCGCCTCGGGTAAGTCCCACAAGTCGGGTTGACGTACGTCTTACAAAAGTAGCTAGCCGCTGCCTCTGTTTGGTGTCACTCCAACAATACACAAAAACGGCCTTGACTATCGATATGAAGATAGCTGTAAATTTTCCTCACGAGTAACGTACAAACCCAGCGGCTGAAAAATCATCGCTACAAGTTCTCCGAACCAGCCCAATCGACGGGTTGTTTCAAAACTGCAATCAACCGCCCTTCCTCACTCTCTAAATCTGATCCCATGTCCGTCATATACTCCCACCTTGCAGTCTCCGGAAGGCTCATCAAGATGCTTTCAATACGCGCAGAAGGCGTTTTCAACCCAAACTTGGTACCTCTGTCGTACACGAGGTTGAATTCGACATAACGCCCCCTGCGTATCAGCTGCCAGCGTCTTTGTTGGTCGGTGCTGGGCATCGACATCCTACGCTCAAGAATGGGCAAGTAGGAGGGGACAAATGAATTTCCCACTGCTTTTATGAAGTCGAATATCTCCTCTGACGATCGAGGTCGTTTGATATCCTCTGAGAGCCGAGCATGCTTCTCAGTGCTGAGATCGTCAAAGAAGAGTCCTCCGACCCCTCTTGTTTCTTGACGGTGGACGATATAGAAATATTCGTCACACCACTTCTTGAACACAGGGTATAGTTCGCTGCCATGTTGGTTGCAGGCCTTCTGCAACGTCGTGTGGAAGTGACGTGCATCTTCATCGTAGAGGTACGATGGCGTGAGATCAGAACCCCCTCCAAACCACCATGCAACAACCTTGCCAGTACCCTCACCCTCTGCGGCTTTCTCCGAGATCTCGAAATAACGATAATTGGCATGCACAGTGGGAGCATGGGGATTGCGAGGATGCACGACGAGGCTTATTCCAGCCGCAAAAAACGGAAGACTAGTTTTCCCGTCGTAGGGGATAGAGGAGTGATCTGCACGCATTTCTTTGATTGCAGCAGGGGGGAGCATGCCGTGTACGACAGATATGTTGACACCAGCCTTCTCCAGGATTGTTTGTTGGCCGGGTGATCCATCTGTGGAAGGGGGAACAAAGAAGACGCCCGATACACCCTTGCCTCCTTGATGTGCTCGTTGCCAAGAGTCACGTTTGAATTTTGGAGCATTGGGATCAAGGGTTTCAAAGGAAGTGATAATCTCCTCTTGGAGACCGAAGATGTATTCTTCGAAACGCTGGCGCATGGTAGGGGCTTCCATCTTGATCTAAGGGTTTCAGACTATAATCCCTGCATGTACGAGATGCTTAAGAGATTATCTATCCTTGATCAACACGTCACGTCAATGGGGCAACAGACCCCCTTGGTAGAGGGTCGCTGAAAGATAATTTTTGAAAAAAAACCAGTAAAGTCACATGACCCTTACATGAGGCATTGTAGCCCAATTACATCCCCCATTTTGTCATTCCGTTTCATCGTCTGTCTTGTACGTAGCCCTAAGCTTAATAGTCTTCTTGTTTGTACATCATGGACGCTCGTCTCCGCCGCGTGAATAAAGAAATCGCTGGTAGGAATTAATCGTTATTACTGTAGCATCGCTCACTCCCACCCCTGGTCAGACTGCAAGAACGACAAATCCTCAAACATCAAAATCGACCTAATAGATTCATCGCCATTTCATCTGAAGGGATCTTTCCCCGGTCCTCAGGACACGCCATACGAAGGTGGCCACTTTGAAGTGGTGCGCATCGTTGATTTCTTGCTAGCATGATCAGAACCTTAATCCGGATGATAGGATATTGTCATCCCTGACTCGTATCCTTTCCAACCTGTTAAGATGAAATTCATCACGAAAGTGTATCATCCAAACATATCATCAGCGTCCGGAGCTATCTGTCTCGACATCCTCAAGGACGCGTGGTCGCCTGTTCTAACGCTCAAATCAACCCTGATCTCACTTCAATCGCTGCTGTGTTCTCCCGAGCCTAATGATCCGCAAGATGCGGAGGTTGCGAAGCACTACACCACCAGCAAGCGAAGCTTCGATGAGACGGCAAGATACTGGACACAGATATATGCCGGAGGGCCTTTGGTCAAGAAGATGGAAGTGAAAGAGCCACAGAGAGATGAGATCGCAATAGCGGGTCTTGAAAGAGCCCATGTAGATCAGTTCGAGAGTCTCGGTTTTGAGCGCTCAAAAGTCGTACGTCTCGGAAAAGCTATTTTTTATATTCACGACACCGCTGATGGGGCTGACCCAGATCGACGTTCTTCGGAGATTGAACTACCGTGGCGCGAACGTCGCCAATATCTCGGAAGATAGGATTGTAGAAGAGCTTTTGAAATGACATCGATGGACATACCCGGGTACCCCCCACGTGGTTACTGGTGTTGATCCTTGTATTTTTTTTTCGCTGTAAATGCCATCCGTTACTTGATTTTATGTTTCCAGTACTCATGAGACGGGTGCGCTCGGACCGACTTGTGAGGTTAGTGGAAATGCCGTTACTGTTCTCCCCATGGCCAACCTCGTGGGTCACACTGGCCTGTCGGTTCATTCCGAGTGTGCAGGGATGATACTATCATCCTCGATATGATCGATATCTCGCCATTTTCCTGTGATGGGTGTGAAGTGTCGCCGATCCATAGCGACGTCATGATAATCACATCTTCTTCTATTTCGATGTCGCCCTTGGAACAGCCTTCGGACTTTGGACTTTGGGCAGTATCAGCGTACAGCATCAATATTACATACTGCACGCCCGATAATCCTTACTGCGGACTGCCCCCCCTGGATGACGCACAAGAACCTCCAAGAACTCGGAACTGTTGATCTTCTTGAATTCCTGTAGCCTTGAATTTCAAATAACCTCCCCAGTGTCGTACCCCCCACTCTTAGTCTCGGCCGAGGCGGTCGGACCATCATGAGATGTCCTTGTATATCTATATCTCGTTGAAACTACTGCTTCTCGTGAATAAAGTTCCTACGAGGAAGGAAACAATCGGAAGATCCAGTGATGCAGTGAACAGCTCTTCCAAGAGAATGGAATATCACTGGCAAGCTCTTGAATCTACAAGCTATCTGGTAACGGAGATCGCACCGAAAACTTCAATCAGAAGAATCGGAGAAAATGGCTGGATGCGTCAAGAGGCGCCTTGGCGCCGTCCATTGGGGCTACCTGAGCTTCTATGCCCCTCATCTGGATCTTATGACAGAATAATGGATACTAATGATCCGTGACGAGCCGAGGTCATCCGAGGTCCACAGTATTGAATGGTATAGCTTGAGGACGTCCCTATTGGGAATATGGGATGGAGAGGAAATAAAGCCTAAAGGCTCGGAGATATGATTAACACATATATGTGTGCTCCGAGGATCACTTGGCGGCGTCAGCGTTTGCTAGACCGTTTGTTAGAAAATGAAGAGGGATGGTCAAAGAAATATTCGTGCCAAGTTGTCAATGGGTTGAGCAAGGTTGCGTGTGCGCGCGTTCGGTCATGTATAACAGTAGACCAGAAAAAAAATGAGGGCGATTGGTGAACATGAAATGCAAGGGAGGGCATGACCTCCGGTCTACTGTATTGGCTATGAACCAAATCCAGGCGTGACAAATTTGAACGAAGATGACGCCCATAAGATTTGGACTCATAGAACACAATAGAATCGGAGGGGCACGGCAAACCGTCGCACTCGTAGTAAGCACCAATTGCCAAGGTAAGAAATGGGGGATGAATTAGCGTCACCCCTGCATCAGAACTTCTTATATATGCCAAAATATGATAGCTTGATATCTCGTGGGCGCAGTGTCTATCCGAACTTGCGTTGCTCCCGTCGTCACGAACAATTACTTTACACAAGATACAATTATCAGCTGACACTCTGACGCTCTGTCGGAGAGATCGAGATTGTACTGACGCATAAGGAAAACGAACGGCAGGACAGATATCAGCCCGTCAACAATTTGAGTTTGTGATATTAAGAGGAAGTGCCGTCCCTTAGCGGCACAGCCGAAAGCCACACTGACAACCCGTTTATCGCGAATACAAAGGCCGCACATCGTCATTAGGAAAAAAAAACCTCAGGGCAACTGCTGACACTAGTTCTCTTTTGTGTATTTTGATCCGAACTACCAACCCAGCACTAGTCTCTCCGTGTCTGGCCCGGTGTATAGACACGAATGGTCGATCCTTCTTTACCAAAGTCACACGTATCGGATACCGACATCGTATGAATGGCCCTGGATTGCCGCAATTGCATGCTTAGATCAGCTTAGCTGCGGTCTGCTGGTATTGTATGAGATAGTCGATCGGACACCTCATGGCAACGGCGAATACTTACTTGGATTGAACACGTTCCTCGCCGAATGCAGCACCTTCAGAGCTAGAATCTCCAGGGTCGTGCCGAAAATGGTCAGGCATGCTGAACATCATCACAGTGCTGACCCCTGGCAATGAGCCCGCGCGACGCGCGTGTAGTATACTTGATAGTTGGGGTGGCTCTCCAACTTGAATGTCATTCGCCTTATCTATGAAAGCTCAATAGTCCGCCAGGTCGCTTCCCCCCAAAAAAAATTCTGACGCACAGAAGCCTATAGAAGCGCTTGAGGCGAGAAATGTCGGACCTTTCAGTATCTTTCCTGCTGTCGAAGTCGTTGAGTGAGTAAGCAAAATGAGGTAAGCATCTTCCAAACATTACACGGCGGAACTAGCTAGAAGATCAAGCTTGATCCGGTATACGGGATGATCATGCAAATGGAAACTTGCATCAATGCTGTCACAGCCTCTGTTCGTCATGAAAAGACAAAGATACATAACGCATACAAGGAACGCAATATGCTGTATGACAGTCATCGCGGACAGCATTCTGACAATGGTTATTAGCGTGAGCTATCACCTGTATATCGATGCGGAGAACACGGCGTACCAAATTACGCTTATCATTTAGTCACGGCCCGGCGCTGTGGTACATCTAAATGGCGTTATACGCACTGGTCTTGCAAGTATCTGCGTCCAAGGACATCTTCATCCGAATATACTGCACATCTCCCTTGTAGAACGGATCACCAAATTCGATCATTCCACGTTTCTTATACCAGGCACTACTCGATGTCCGGGCATCACACCAAATAATGCCTGCACCTAGCGTCGATCGAGCTGCTTCAGCCGCATGTTGAAGCAACTGGGTCCCTATGCCTTGATTCTGGTGCATCAGATCGCAGGCAAATTTACGAAAGCGCGCAGCCTTTGTCTGAGAAGGGCTATCATTCCCACATCTTACAAGGTGTTGTTCCGGTAAGGGTTCGTCAAATAACGAGATGACGGCAATGGGCTTTCCGTGATGTGGTACGAAAGCTCCAAAATGGAGACCATTGCCATCTTCAGCGAGAAGAACATCTGCAATCGAAAGACTGGGCCACAAAATGGACTGGCGGAGCTCCAAGGTAGCATCCGCGTCTATGGGAGTGATACGGAGAACTGCACTCGGTTTCACTAAAACTCATCAAATGAGATACTGCTTCCTATGAAAGAGACCCTAAAGATTCACCTTCACTTTCTGTTTGGCCGGGCATGTCAGGGAGTGGCCCAGTGCAATGTATGAGGAATGCATTACGTGTACGTTTGTGTGTCCTTCCAAGACACATTTGCTGGCTGACAAATCCAAGTCTTAGTAATATTATATGCCACAATTTTAAAATGAAACTCTTCCTTCGTCTATGAAGGTCTGGCTGGAGATTAGAACTTTGGTAAAGCTCGTTCCGAGATAAAGCGAACCTATGATACACTGACACGACTTAGACCACTTAGCTCCATGAAAAGCTTCCAAACGTGGCTTAGAACTAATAGTAGGAAACTTAAAACAAGCTTGGCAAGTTGGCAAGCTCGAGATAAGGTAAGCCACAAACTTACAAGTTGACCGCCGATTGGAGGTCTTAGACCGTTAATACAGGCTGTCCATTGAGGAAGATTTAAGTTTCATTAAATTGACGTGCCTAATTATATTTCCAGGGATTTGCTACTTTAGTATCGAATGTTGCGACCCCAAACCAATACCTTACGTGCTTGACCATGCAATATGTGGTCGACCGTGTGCACACAGGTTCGCACCCTCGTTGTGTGCTTTCTCAGAAGGTGTGTTCTCTTGATCGAATGGGCATATAACCAACTTAAGTTCCATTGATGGTGGAGGAAGTAAGCAAAAATTGCAATCGGAATTTACCATCGAATATTCCGTCAATAAAATTCTTTTCAGCGGCCATTGCATCCAAGCATGAAGTGCATTGTGCTTGATCATCTCTCGGCATAATAACCTGCATGCATGCAGGGTTCACTGGCTTCCTTCCCCTTTTCTCTCTCAAGCACACGTATACATCGTTTTGCTCATTGTCCCGATCTCCCTTTCCGTGCACCCTTGGATCATTATCTGCCGCGGAAACTGCAAAAATCAAGGTAATGTATCTTTATTCAAATTAAGGTGCCTCCAGCCACAATGTATTCTTCTTTATGATTTGAAACACGAGAAGTTTCCAGAAATGCAGGCACCCGCAGTAAGTGCGGCGTAATCATTGTTGTGCACTCAATGATGGCTCTCAATGCAGTCACCCTTGCCAATTATTGGCGTGGTACGCGAGAAGCCTTTATCCGTTAAATCGGGTTCCTTCTGCCGCAAGGAAGTCCTGCCCCACAAACTAGTACTATGTGGAGTATGCTAGACGGGCCTTGGCATCTCTGCGATGATTCTAGTACTCTTTTATCCATTCTTGTACACAACTGTACAAAGCTCGGAACTACTGATTTTTTTTTGGCTCCGCGATGATAAGTATTTGTACGAAATCCCGACTTGCCTCATGTTGTACTTTGACGCCTCCAAATCGGCTCCAGCAACAGACGCGATTGCGCTTTTTTCTCTGATTGGTAGTCTACCTGGGGATTATCCCGCGACGCCCGCATACAGCATCTACGGGGAATTCAACATCATATCCAGCTTTGACATGCATTTGCAACTGTACGCCAGTCTCAAAAAATACTAATCCAATTGTCTATGCTAAAAATGTCCAGTGACGATAACTGCGCTCCATCCTCTACTTCGGTAGCTACGATGGATCGGACTGCAGGCTTTCACCACTTTGTATCGGTGCCTCCTTCTGCGTCTCTGGATCATGATCCACCGTTTTTCCCTCGCCACTCGGTGATTTCTCCCTCTCCAAGATAACACGTCGACGCGCCTCGAATCCCCCTTCATAGCCAAACCAACGTTTTCGAGAACAATGTGGACCGCGAAGCAATAAAACTAGAATTTCGAAGGCATGCAGCGCCAGCATCAATATCGAACACGCTCTCCATCCGTGTTGCACGAAAACTTGGGTGCCAACAGACGTGCCCATCACCTGCCCGATGAACACCTGTGACGTCTTGCTTAACAACACTCCGATTGATAGCTCACTGCGGAACTCACTGATAGAATGAGGATCGCGTTTAAGCGCGCACCAGCTGCGGGAGAGATGCTGTGGTACGATTACTGTAAGTCAACAGCAGTTTCCTTCACGGAAAAACCAAAATATTGACCTCAGGACCCGAGCGGTCATGGACACTTGCTGGGACTGGCGCCCAACATCGAGCCCGAAGCATGCGATAATGACAGCTGCAACATTAATCCCACCTGCCGCAGTCTGCACAGCTTGGGAAATCAGGAGCACGCCAGTGGCCACCAAAGTTGCATACCAAGGAACCAGCCTATCGATCAGACGTCCTGAGAAGGGTCCAACGAGCACGCCCAGCATGCCAACGAGACCAAAGAGACCAATTATGAGACTGAAAATGGTCTTAAGTTCGGGCGGTAAAAAGTCAGGATATGTGCGTACGTGGAATAGTAATAGGGTGGACCTCCAAGGAGAAAGGTGAGAGTGACCCAAAAACCGGTGAAACATGCGTTGGATGCAATATTTATAATTGCCATCTGTATCACCAGTGGCTCCGTTACTGCATACTTGGCCATCGAAAATAGGATTTGAAAGTAGGTCATGTCACGGTTTTTGGATGGATAGTCAGGAAGCATCAGGTAAGAGCCAATGAGAACGAGTAATTGGACACCAATTGACATATAGTAGACCACACGCCAGGTTGTGAAATTCGCTATGACGCCAGCCAGGACACGAGCGATCAGGATCCCCAGCATGAGACCCGAGAGTACCACAGACAGTGCAGACGCTCTGCGTTCAGGTGGAGCAAGATCTGCAGCTAGAGGCATCAAGATCTGGGGAGTGACAGTTACAACGCCGGTCAAGAAGGACAAAACCTCGAAAACCCGGAAAACATTGGTCACGGCCAAACCGATCGTGAAAGCAGTAGATGTCGCAACCAGCAGTAACACCAGTTGCCTGCGTCGAACAAGGTCACCGAGAGGGGATATCAGAACTAATCCCACTAAATACCTGAACAACAACAATTAACCGTAAACGTTCAGGTTCCATTGGAGTCCGATAAGTTTATTTACCCTGCTTGAATGAGAGTGGGGATACTTGATAACCAATCGTGCTTACTATTAGCCCAGATTCGCTGAAACGGACAAAATCACACACCGTGAAACTTCTTCATATGCTACGTCGAACGATTTTGAAAACTCGACTACGAATTTCATGATTAAAGACATGCGCAGCCGACGACTTTTCACAACACACTCAACAGCGGTTGACAATAATACAAGTTAGCGACAGCTGTTTTGCCATTAGCGTTCATTCACTGTACCAGGAAATCCGTACTGAATGTGCTAGCAAATCCAAAGGAAGCATTGAGCAAGATGCCAAAGTGAAAAGGTTCCATGGGATTGTATTGGAGCCTTTTCGGAATCGGTATAAGACCAAAGTCTTTTGTGGGCCAACTGGAGTCTTCTGTGGATGCTGCAACATTTTCGACAGCCGTTTCGGTAGACTCGCAGTGTGCCTCTAGCTTCTCAGTGCTGGAAGGAGACATTAAAGAGAATGGGTCTCAGCGACAATCACGAACAGCGTGAAGGTAGGCAACGACTCGGACGAGGACTGCGATAAGTATCAAGATACACGAGATGACGTGAAGCACCGGGAGTGATACTGCAGTGCTAAGCCATATGGGATGCACGGAAGGGTGCAAAAGTGAGTTTAGAAAATATAAAAAAACTAAGAAGGTACGCACTTGGGTGTAGGGCGAACGGCCAAGAAATTGACGCAAGAAAACAGCTACCCGTCCTTTCAAACACATGACGACCTTGGGCTTATAAACTGGCTACAATGTGCTATATAACAGATATTTCTGACTTTGATTGGTGGCGACTCACCGTACGTAAATAAGACGGAAGTCCGTCCTTGGCATTGGTAAGTATGCCAGCGGCCAGCGCTAAGCGCTTACTCTCACGGATTTAACTTGAAGCAGCGGAATGGAGACAACTGTGCCCCCTTAAGAATATTAAATGTTGCAACAAATTGTTGACCAAACCGCAGCGTCAAGACTCTACTATTACGCTTTATCAAGTACTGAATACTGAGGCCTGACTCAGGGTTCACTTCAAGTTGGAAATACTATTCTCTCAATGATGTGAGCTTCAATCGATTGCAGTAATTACTCTGCCGGTACCGTGTGACCAAATTTGGAGACTTTCATATGTTGAGCAGAAATCAGTGAGTTGACATTCCGAAACTCTTTGCGGCTAGATCTGGCGACCCCACGATTTTTCGGAAGCTCGTCCTTAGCTTAAAGTATGACCTGTTCATGTTAGTGCTTGTAAACCACAACCTGCAAGTCTTACAAAAATACGACTGCAGCCGGCCGCCGTTATAGGTGTGACAATTTGTGAATACAAACGTTTAAACCTCCGCGACTGACGCCACGCACATGCACATCCATCATCATGAGACCGTCCGTGTACTGTATGACTCATTCCGGAAGCACATGGACAGCGGGTTTCAGTGAGGGATTGTTCCGCGGGCCGTGGCTCCAACAACTTGCCATATTAAAAATCTGAAACAGCACGTTTCTGTTGCATTAGAGGAGCTGCGCACAAGCCGAGAACCAAGGGGTTGAAGACCCCCTGAGTGATAGTGATAGTACCCAATAACGAGTAAATTCCCGTCAGTAATTTGCCACGGAACAACTGTGTAAAGCCGGCGAACTGGTAGTATGCATGATCAGATCCATCAAGTGTTGTATGTTGCGGCCTCTATGTTTCTATCAGTATATAATATGTTCAGTACGAGTGTCAAGTTTTGGCTCGAGAAATTTTTAGTGGAGCTCCTCAGCACCTCCTTTGACATCCTCCTTCTCGCTGCACACCACAGCCAAGTGACCGCATCCTGTGTTCTCAGGGTCGTCGCTCGCGACTAGTTGGGACTGTTTGGACGGCAATATCTTCCATAATCCCAACCCGCCTTCATAACCAAACCAGCGATTCTTGGGACAATGGGGACCTCTAAGGATAAGCACAGAGAGCTGGAAGACAATCATGGCCATGAAAAGCGCAGAATTTGCACGCCAGCCATATCCAACAAAAACGTCAGATCCAACGGACGTCCCTGTAACTTGACCCAGAAAAACCTGCGACAGCCCAGTCCGTGTAATTATCAAGCTGATCCATAACAGAAAATGTGAATTGACGCACTGATATGATCATCAGTGCATTCAAACGTGAGCGTGCGGTCTCCGAAATGCTGGTTCATCGTCAATCAGCAAGGCAGAATGCAAAACGCATGATATTGTACCTGAACATTAGTGTAGAGAATGATACAGATTGAATTTGGCGGAACATGTCTAATCCAAAGCAAGCGACGATGACCGCGGCGATGTTTATACCTCCCGCCCCAGTTTGTACTGCTTGAAACAGCAAAAGAAACACAGTCGAAACAATAGCGGACCACCATGGAACAAGCCGATCGAGCAGACGGCCAAAGAATGGCACAATAATTATACCCAAAATTCCAACGAGGCCAAACAAGCCGATAATAATGCTGATACAACGGCATCAGCGAATGAGTGATAATAAGACAGTGTCACTTACGTGGAGTAGTTATATGGCGGTTCACCGAGTAGAAACGTGAGGGTCACCCACCAATTGGTGTAACATGCGCTGGCAGCCCAGTTTGTTAACATAATTTGACCGACGAGAGGTTCGGTGACAACATATTTCGCCATGGAACGAAATATCCCGAGGTAGGACAAATCAGGGTTCTTCACTGGGTAGTCCGGAAGTAACATGTATGCACCACCCAGGACGATACTCTGGATGCCGATGGACATACAGTACACAATTCGCCAACTCGTGAAATTGGCCACTATGCCAGCCAGTACACGTGCAATGAGAATGCCAAGCAGATAACCTGATTGAACAATTGAGATAGCTGATCCACGACGATCAGGAGGAGCGAGATCAGCGGCTAGTGGCATGAGAATCTGAGGAGCGACAGACGTCAACCCAATCAGAAACGAAATTATCTCGAACACCACGAGGTTTTTTGTAATGGCGAATCCTATTGTTAAGGAGGTTGAACACACGACCAAGAGCAACATCAACTGGCGTCGGCGAAGCATGTCACCAAGTGGTGTTATAAATAGGAGGCCAATACCAAACCTTATCCACTGTTAACAGTAGCCATTTAGAAGGACTGTAGAACCTTACCCAGCTTGAACTAAGGTTGGTATCCTGTGCGAATGTTAGATTCGCCGATCTCAGCTAGACTTTTGGCTATCCACACCTTGCCACCTCGTCATACGTGACATGGAAAGAAGCCGATAATTGAACTTTGAGGCATACGTCATGACCCAAAGAAAAGAAAATGCGAAGCTAACGTACTTAGAATTGGTTGACAATAATATAGGTTGGCAATCACTGCTCGATGTTAAACGCGCATTTGTGAATGTCCTGGTGTCATGACTTACCTAAAGTACTGCCTATGCCAAAAGATACATTGAGCAACATTCCGAAGTAGAAAGGCTTATCAGGGTCATAACGGAGTCGTCTTGGAATAGGAAGGCATCCGAAGTCTTTCGAGAATGTCATATCCGTCTGCGCTGGGACAAGCGACGACGGAGTAGGCTGAGTTGCTATTGAGCTAACAATTGTTTCAGCAGGAGAGGTCATAGCTCACGCAGCAGGGGGAACGTACCAGTAATCTGTAAGACCTGACTACTAATATATATAAATCTGCCTGTTCGAGAAAGACCATAGTGTAGATATTTGAGTAACAAAACGTGCTAATAATGCTATTATCGGGCGCGGCATGGGACCACCGAGATATCATGAACATGCATCATGGGGGACAAGAACATACAAAAAATTCATAAATGAAGGCATGATGGTGTCAGCAGACTCAGAGCAATCAACACAGCCACATGTGATGCTTATACATTACTCTTACCAGCGACCCGGCGCGCGGTACTAGCGTGAATCATTTTGTATACTTTCTATTTCACGCAATCAAAGTTATTCTCACTGCAGGTCAACGATTTTTTAAAGGACAAAAGTATAGCCGAAAAAGTGGGCTGACCTGAAACCCCAAATTACTAATGAATCGATCCGTTGATTATGAGCCCTACCACGGTTCAAGAATAAGACGGGAGGGAGGCTCAACATATTTGAGACTTGAGTTAAGAACACTCAACTTCGTGCCACCTATATAGTATGATTTTATTCAGGCCAGCTTAATCTGCTTGGATCAGAAATACGTCAGATAAGCGGGGACAATCGAGTAGCTTCGTACAGGAGCTGCAGCATTGTAGTCCAATGGCCGTATAACGAATAGCATGCCAGTTAATGAAGTTACGGATTATTTCTGAAGCAACACGTGGCAGAAAATGCCCAACGTGATGCTCAATCATATTACTGAGACCGTTGTTGTGCTATTCTCAGCGGGGCAGAATAGGCTGTGGAGTGGAGGAGAATTTGAATCATGATGATTAATTCACTCAGACTAATATCATTGACGAATGTGAGCTGCCGACGTTGAAATGAAACCAACGCAATATGATCATACCTCAAGGCGGCCCGAAAAAGTTGAGCAAACACAAAGCGCTCCAAATAGAATCACTGAAAATTTTCAACGCAGTATATAATTAAGTGGCAGCCAATGCAGACAGCAATGAACACACTTTTGACGATGTGTCGAGATAATTTGACCGTGACTCTGACTTTGACCCAAAAGAACTGTGATAGTGAAAATGTATAAACGTCATGTTCGAACAAAGAAATCCCGCTGGCCCTTCACAGGCGTAGAACTTACCTAAGAGAGTTCGGACCGTTTCATACGCGCCCAGTGTGCAACCACGACGGATTATAGTCCGACCAAAGATAAGCATCTCATCACGAGGTGTCCCAAGTAGCTCCGATTAGTACGATGACAAGCTTGTATGGTGAGTGTATGCTCGAGTGCTCACCCCGCGATTCATGGTCTCATGGTCTATGTGATATACATACACGTGAAAGCATATGACCACATAGCAGGAAAAACTGAACACCAATGACACGAATGTTGATGAATGAAGAACTCGAGGCATGAGTAAGCAGGCGGGTATCTTGATTATCGCATCTAGATTTCCTTTTTTTCGACTTCGTTGGTCTCCTTCACTGACTCCCTACTAGCATTTCGAAACACTACAAATGCATCCCATGCGCTCCCCGAAGTTATGCTATTCATCGCTAGCGCAACCCCTTCTTTGAAGTCTGAAGCTAAACCTGCAACAACCAGAAGCGCCGATGCATTCAACAAGACGAAGTGCAGAACAGGCGTCAATGACTCTGGTATGTCATTACCCGAGTTGAGGAGCGCTTTGAATGTCTCTGCATTCTCTGTTGGCGTTCCGCCAGCTACGGATGTAAGTGGATGGGTGCTCAATCCAAAAAGATCTGGGTGCAATGTGGTTTCGGTAATTTTGCCATCCACTAATTGCCACGCGTATGTGTTGCCTGCACAGCTGATCTCATCAAGTCCTTCGGCTCCACATACCACGAGAGCGCGTTCGACGCCACCCTCATGTAGGGACTGAACGAAGGTAGGACCAAGCTCGCGCTCAGCCACACCCAGTACCATGCCTCGTGGACGTGCAGGGTTTATAAGGGGTCCAAGGACATTGAAGAGCGTTCTGAACGGTAAGGACTTGCGGTATGGTGCAATCATAGCGAGCGCAGGATGGTAATGAGGCGCCAGGATGAAGGTGAACGGCATCTTAGATATGGGAAAGGAAGTGCCTTGTGAAGGGGCAGTGAATAAACAGTCGAGGGATTGTAGAAGATCTGCTGAACCAGATGAAGATGTGGAAGCCTTGCTTCCAGTGCTTGTTGTTTGACTCGTCAGCCTAAGTTACCGTAGCAGATGCAAAATGATCCTACCTTGATTACTCGAGCACCTGCGCCTGCAGCAACGACGGCTGCTGTGGTACTAACGTTAAACGTGTTGTGACCATCTCCTCCAGTTCCAACGATAGTCGACTATAAAATCTGTGTCTCTATCCTCGATGGCTGCCTTGTAACGCGCGCGCCCTTAGGACTTCAGCAGCAGCTGCGAAGTAATTCTGGGCGTCCTTCCACTCTTCCTATATGGAGGGCAGCAAGGAATGCACCTGTTTGTGCGGGAAGGGCAGCATCGGGGGTGAAAAGGTGATGAAGTGAGAGTTCAAGGTCTTCCGGAGTGAAATACTCGGGAGTCTTGACAAGTTTTCCTAGCAGGATTTTGAAGGAATCGGGAGTACATTCAGCCATGAGTATAGCTAGTATCAAGAAGATTTCAAGGTATTTGAGATGAGCAGCATCTCAGGCTTTTGTGCGATTTTTGTTACAGGTGATACGCTCAGCGCTGGTTGCTATTTTGAAAGAAGCTATGTCTTGGTCGTGACTCGTGACACGATTGTGACGCGCTCATTTGCAGCTGGGCCACCAACGGATAGTCTATTTCAACGATTAAGTTACATTTCCAGCGTCCGGATACGACGACCCAGGGCATCGTCAGTTCCGAGAGGTAAAAGTTTGGGCGGACCCAATCTCGGACACACACTTACTCAAACACGATCGGGAGCGGTGTAGAGTTGGACCTTACTATGATCCAAAGTGTTCGCAAATGGGCCTACTGGAAGAATCAGGTTGCGGTGCAGCTGAGATCATACAATTTTTGGTGGAGCCTAACCGGTGAGGATGCACCGATTCACTCAGGCTTGTTTTGAGGTTGAGCCTCCTACTCATATGATATCCCACACAAATGTCAGCTAGGATCGACCGATCCCACCTCTTCGGCGGTCGCTGCGCTTAACGACATGGCCGACATGACTGTGTTACCACATTAACGTGTAATTCGTAGTGGCAAATGTTTCAGATGAAGCTCTCCTTCTCATAGCCTTATTCCAATATCTTCAATCGTCGCCAGGTACGGCGAGGATGCCTACAAGGGCGGAAGCCGGTTTGCACCTCAATATTGCCCTGTACGTACTATCAATGTCGGGCTTGATGATTCTTGGCAACCGAATATGTCATGGTCACGAAGCAACGCGAACTGATCGATTTTGACCGGGCTGAACGCGGTGGTGAGGTAACAATCCATCTCTCCTAGTATTGACTGGGCGGAGGGAGTGCGAATATTCTGAAACAGCATGTTATAACATGTACTAGTCCCAAACACTACTCTAAAGCAACGAATCCGCATATGTATCACTATCGAAGCCCAGGGTGTTCTCTACAACAATTTCCACCAAACCGTTTCACGGTAGTTGTTATAAATACTCTTCTTTCCAACTTTTCAACTAACCCCGACCCAATCTTCCTCCTCCAGAGCAGTTCGATGATGTCTTCATCGCTTCTGGAACAGAGTTTGACAGCACCAAGGTTGTCATGAAATGGCCGGTAACCCTTATGCACGATTAGACACCAGTGATCTACCTTTAACGCAGGACAAGGATACCTATACTAAACCCCATTAAAGCGTCATGCAATTTAGTCAAACAGGCACTTGTACCAGATGTGACCTTCTTCTCTCATGAAGAAACCCCCATGGTCAACGTATGTGCGATCATATCATAATAAAGAAGGCACGACTATCTCCGGACCGAGGCATGTATCAAGTGTTGTGATCTCATCATCATGATCATAGGGCGAAACGCAGCGGCGTAGGGTATGTTTCACATACTTCCACTTATCCTCAGAACCGAGAAACTGGTGTGTCTACCTGGCAAATAAATCTTAACCTAATCCCCTTCAAATGACTCCGGATACCGCAATGAGACGTACAAAATTACGCTATAAAATCCAACCCCTTCTGAGGTAGTGGCGCCTAGGAACTTATCTTTGGACTGATCAAATATTGGGACTCGACAAGCATACCATGAACTTTTCTCTGAGGACGCCATCCATTTGAGATGGAAATCAGCATTCGACTTATTCAAGCGTAAAAAGGCAGGGGGTGCACCCTTTATGCCTGTAGGGTAACAAATAAATACTACTATGAAGTCAGCATATTTGCAATCAGGACCGACCTACGACTTAAGCCTTGTCATCGTCGCAAACTAGTTCCTTCAGGCCATTGATTGACCTTTGGAGCTCCTAGAGTGGCGCTCGTGGTCGTCATATATGAAGTGTTTGACTCAGTGATTGATCGTTTATTCTAATTGCTCTGAAGTTGCTGGACGAAGTGAGGGGCGGGCGGGCGGGCGGGCGGGCCGCCGTTACCGGCAAGTTGCCATCATGCGTGGGCGAGACTTTTGACCCAATGCGGATGGCTTGAACTTGAACTTTGTTGAAGCTCGCGCTCATCATGAAGGAGACACCATACACTTACCGACAAACACTGAAAACACCCGCACCGATCTCATGTCTGGCTGAAGGATCATTGGGTCATTTCTTTGCAGGCTCAGGTACGAGCCTCCATCAAATCCCATGCTGATGGATCATGGAGATTTATTCTATACATACTACAGATGACGGATCCGTTCGCGTATATAATCAAGAGACTTTGAAGGTTGTGAAGGCTATCAGAGGTTTGGGAGAAGTATCGTCTGTTGTATGCATGGCACACAGTTCAGGTGGCCTCGGGGATATCTGGGTCGCATCCAATCGTCACGTACGTCCTGACAAGTCCAGAATGGAGATACTGCATGTGTCTGACAAACCTGTTTTCAAATTATACAGGCTCTCCTTTTTACTATGGACACGGAAAAGATGATTCTAGCGAAGGCTGACGCGACCTTGACGTTGGAACTTGGTGCCGAAAATGACGACGTCCTGAACGAGGTAGAGGGCGCAACATCATTCTTCATATTTCCGACTGATCATGACCAGCCAGCTCTCGCTCAACCAAAAAAACAGTCAACTGGCATTTTGTCTCGACTCTGGTGCAGTCGGCGTCGTTGATCTTTCTACGAAACAAGTAACACGCATGAAAACAAGTCATGACAATGTTTGTATCTTTCGTGTTCCAGGTGCATGCCTTGCTCATAGTGATGCAGATCTGTGGAACGGTGAAGTTCATTCCCGATCGTCCGAGTGAACTTGTCAGCGGTGGATACGACTCTAGGCTGCTGCATCACGACTTTCACCAAAAGACCATATTATCGCGATTCGATTTAGGTAGTTTGACTTTTTGGTCGATTTGGCTGTCACTCAGTTTTCAATATTTCGCATGTCAGGGATGTCTCCTCTGTCCGAGTCTTCAGGTGTCTCAATGTCCCCGCCATTCATATTGTCATCTGCCATGTCACCATCTGGCATCTTGGCTGCGGGAACCGCCGACGGACGGGTATGGATTGGCACCGGCGGAGAGAAAATGACAGGAGTCTCATCTGGTGCATCTGTCAAAAAGAAACGGCGAAAGTGGGAAGGATTGAAGCAAGATGGAGCCTTCACGGCAGATGTCGGGCATGGCCCTATCACTGCTCTGTATGTGTTTATTATTGCTGTACTGCGATATCCGAACTGAGACACCAGCAGGACATTTTTGGGGCCTCGCACACTTTTCACATCCACATTAATGGGAAAAGTCACCCTCCACGAAATTGGTAACCCAACTGCAGATGGAAAGTTGGACATGTCTCCAAAGTGGACGAAGGCAACGACCGATGTGAACAAGGTTAATGCGATCATTGCTACGAAGGACTTGATCATCATCGGGGGATTGAGTGAGACGGGAGGAGGCATAACAGAGGTTTGGGAGAAGTCGGGTGATGTATGAATGCTTTACTTATTGTAGACTCACTGGCGACTCACTATCATCTGTGTGTTACTATGCAGGTACCACTGTAGCGCTGTCAGACTCCACTGTCCAGTGCTAGCACCAGGAACTAACGGGCACTTCCCGCACCTGATTGCCGCATGCGGCTGTGGCGCTTACTAGTCTACTGAACGCATCACAAGACACGATGACGAAGAATCATTCGATTAATGGGTCCCCGACCGAGCATGCCCGATTGTCTCGTGCTGTCAACCTGTGCTTTAACCTTTTTAAAGTAGCGAGTCAATATGGAAGACAAACAATAAGGATCCACTACCTCACGATCAGCACGACAGAAAAGCACCTGCCAAGGGAGGAAGACTATCTCCTTGATCCTTCGTATTTTGGAAGTTGGAGCCAATAAATCTCCTGTGGTTTGCCATTTCTAGAGAAACCTAATCTCTATGAGCTTCATGCAGCTAAGTTATCCCTGCAATCCTGCACGCTGAGAACAGTACCGTTTCATCTAGAGAAACCTTGAACGTTTAAGGATATACAAGGGTGCCAATCCCTAAGAGGTGAAATCGTCTGAGAGACGGGCGACTAATCCAGCTATTTGTTCGTAAATATGAGAGTGGGCTTGGAAGAGCTTTGTCCAAGCAACGAGTTTCCGCTGTGATGGAAGTAAATCGAATTTTAATTTAACGATGTCGTACGGGATTCTTAAATGCACATCGAGAAGCAATGAAATCTTGAACCTAGAAGTCACAACTTGTCGATCGAGGAGTGCCACACTTGTGATTCGTCCCTGCAATACATCATTTTAAAGTCTCTAGCACAGTATCTCTTCGACTTTGAGATATAAGTTAATTTTACATAGAAAAGACACTGGCCGATTTGAACCAGTACATCAATACATGAGCTAATAGTTAGTTATTTTTAGGGCTCACTCCCTTTGTGCTAGTTTTTCTGAAAGAACTTCGGATGAGAGTTCTGCTGCTAGAGAATAATTAGGAGCCCGAAGGCTGAAGCGCTGACTTGGAAGCTGCGCATTGCGCAAGTCACTGCGCTTGGCAGGGCCTGTGAATTGAAAGCACTGCCACAACTTCTGACAGCCCTTGCACAGTACTTAGAACTTAAGTTATAGTCTAGACTACTTGCTAACCTTCTTCACGTTCTTTCATTTGCTTGCTCATATAGGAGACAGCTTGCACACACGCGATGTCACGGTACAACGAGGTGGGTCTATTTATTGCCATTGTCGTCGTTCAAAGCGCCTAACAAAATTGGTCTATCACGATGATAAACAGGCTGACGAGGCACAGCGAAGACACTACAATGACGGATACAGCGCTCAGCCGTCTCAGACACCTAATCCTTATGAAGAACAACTACATGACCCGTATGACCCAAATCGCTACAATCCCCAATTTGAACACCGACCCTACGATCCGAACCAGCAATATCACCTCCCGGACCCATTCCTTACCCCGCAAGTTCAATCGACCCCATTTCCTCCTTCCCAATCACAAGATCTGTATCAACAACAGCAACAACATCCGCCGCAGCCACCAATAGATTACCTTACACCACATGTCCACTATAGCCCATTCGACAACGCACCGCCCGCTCCACGTCCGCAGTCGCAGTTTGGTATGGATTATGAGATGGTAGAGCGTGAGGACAATGATCTGGGCGATATGCCACTGCTGCAACACAATGGTCCCTATCCAGCAGCACAAATGCCTGGAGGCTACCAGGTGGCCATTTCTGATGATCGCTCAGAAACTAACATTCGCTACGGACACATACCACAGCGCGTGCCCCGACGGTACAAGACTATCAAGAAGGTAGAGTGAGTGTTCCTTGTTGAATCTTATTTTCTCTCCCTCATAATACACAGACTCTTCCACGGTAACTTCGTGCTCGACTCCGCAGTGCCAACAAAACTGCTGGATATGTGCGCGATTCGTAATGAACGCGAGTTCACCCACATGCGTTACTCTGCAGCCACATGCGACCCCAACGACTTTAAGGACTCTGGGTTCACCCTTCGCCAGGTGCACTATGACCCTCCACGGAGGACGGAGCTTTTCATTGTCATGACGATGTACAATGAAGATGAGGAGCTATTCTGTCGTTCAATGCATGGTGTCATTAAAAATATCGCTCATTTGTGCAAACGAGATAGGAGCAAAACATGGGGGAAAGAGGGTTGGAAAAAGGTTGTGGTCTGTATTGTTAGTGATGGGCGGTCGAAGATCAATTCCCGGACGCTGAGTGTCATTGCTGCCATGGGTGCATATCAAGACGGCATTGCAAAGGTATGTTTCAGTTTTGGCAAATGGTCATCAAATTAATGATAGAAAAGAATATCGTCAATGGAAAACCTGTCGCAGCACACATATACGAGTATACCACGCAAAGTTTGTCTCACCATCATTTGTCTGTATCTAATCTTAACGTGATTACAGTATCGGTCTCTCCTTCAATGAAAATCGAAGGCGCCGAGAAAGGTGTTGTCCCCGTACAGATCATCTTCTGCCTTAAGGAGAAGAACCAAAAGAAGATCAACTCCCATCGCTGGTTCTTCAACGCCTTTGGTCCAATATTGGAGCCCAATGTGTGCGTTCTCCTTGACGTTGGTACTATGCCTGGCCCCACTTCGATCTACCACCTGTGGAAAGCCTTCGATATTAATTCGAATGTTGGCGGTGCATGCGGCGAAATCGTCGCTCTGAAGGGCAAGTACGGACAATATCTTCTCAACCCACTCGTCGCAGCGCAGAATTTCGAATATAAAATGTCGAATATTTTGGATAAGCCGTTAGAGAGTGTGTTCGGGTATATCACCGTGCTGCCTGGCGCATTTAGTGCATATAGGTATATTGCCCTGCAGAATGACCAGCTTGGGCAGGGCCCGCTGCAGAAGTACTTTTTGGGTGAGAAGATGCATGGTGCAGGTGCCGATATCTTCACAGCGAACATGTATCTTGCCGAGGATCGGGTGGGTGCTGAGTGGAATATGATGATGTCTCGACTGACACCTGTTCAGATATTATGCTGGGAGCTTGTCTCAAAGCGCGGGGGATCGTGGATTCTGCACTATGTCAAGTCTGCATACGCCGTGACTGATGTTCCCGACCAGGTCGATCCAAAAGTTCAAGTCATAGTGTAAAGCACGCTGACCCTTTTCAACAGGTCCCCGAATTAATTTCCCAAAGACGTCGCTGGCTTAATGGCTCTTTCTTTGCCGCCATACACTCTACCGTTCATTTCCACTACTTGTATCGCTCCTCGCATTCGTTCATGCGCAAGTTCTGGATCCACATCGAGATGTTTTATCAACTGTACAACCTCATATTTGCCTGGTTTTCCCTCGTAAGCTTCCTTCTCTACCATTCTCTACACCATCGTCATGACCTTCATGCACATTAGGGTAACTACTATATCGCCTTCATCATTCTCACCCAAGCGCTCGAGTCCTACGTTCCTCAAATCCGCATCCTTAACATCATCCTCAACTACTTCTATCTCGGATTGCTCATCATGTGCTTCCTCCTCTCGCTCGGCAATCGGCCGCAAGGTTCAAAATGGGGCTACACCCTCGCTTTCATCGGGTTTGCCATAATCACGATTGATATGACTGTCTCAGCGTTATTGCTCGCTTACAAGGCCATTGAAGGCGTCGCGCAAAGTGAAGGACGAGCGATACAGGCTAGCGATCTATTGTCGAATTCGATCTTTAGAGATGTCGTGGTCTCATTGGCGGCCACGCTGGGGCTGTATTTCGTGGCCTCATTGATCTTCGTGAGTCATTCTGTGCTCTATATCTTCCTTGTTATTTATTGATGATTGTCAAAGTTTGAGCCATGGCATATGATTACGTCTTTCATCCAGTATCTCCTCATGGCGCCGTCGTATATTGCGGTCTTGAACGTCTACGCAGTACGTCCCTTTTCTTCAACACAGCTCCCAGTCGTTCACAAAGTCTCAGTTTGCCAACGTCCATGATGTCTCATGGGGAACGAAGGGTGACAACAAGGTTTCCACTGATCTCGGTGTCGTCAGCGCGGGCAAGGGGGACAACAAGAATGAAGTCGAGGTAGCGGTACCCACGGCTGAGACTGACATCAATGCAGCATATGAAGATGCTATCCATGTTCTGTCCTCGAAACCACCCAAGGAGGATTCCAAGCCTGATCCGGCAACGCAGCAAGAAGATTATTATAAAACGTTCCGGACGAACGTATTACTGGTTTGGACTTTGAGTAACGTGAGTAACTAATTAGGTTCGTATTAGAGACACTTTTATTGACGTGGTGGGTTTGCAGGCTCTTCTGGCTGCTGCTATAATGTGAGTATTTTGAAAGGTTGCAGATGTTGCTGCTCGCTAACACTTTCTAAATGGCAGAACCACGAGTGGCACTGGAAGTGCGGGTGTGACCGGATACATGACGTTCATCCTCTTCTCAGTTGCTGGACTTGCATGTAAGGAGAAGCTTCTAACGCCACACCATCACTAGTGCTGATAATTTCCGTTCTTTAGTCGTTCGTTTCATCGGCTCGACGACGTACATGCTCGTGCGCTTGTTTGCAGGGGAGTAATGATTTCTCGAAGCCCAGTATGACACGATATGATATGGACTTGCATGAAGACAATTATATGTCTCGTTGATATTAAATATTGTTGTTTTGTATCTATGTCTTGTCCTAGTAGGAATATTCCGAGGATATTACTGTTCATTTCCGAGACTAAATCCGGTTTCCGAAAACAGAGCTAATATTGTTCCTTGCCTTCTCTCCATTGACAATATGTACTTCTCAATTGCAGAGTTCTTGTCAAGTATGTTCGCCATCACATCACTCATGTCGACTTTGTCTTGACAAAGCTCCAATCGTATCGTCACCGTCCTACAATTCTTTTGGTACGACAACTCAAGAAATATGATAGTAATGTGGACGTCCTTGAAGTTGTTTTCCATAACATCCACCGTTGTTCTTCTTGCACTCATCCTCCGGACCTCCGAGTCAATTCATGCCCGTGTCTCCAGTCCTATCCTCACAAGAAACTCCTCCACGGCACTGTCGCTGAAGCGGGACGTACCAGATGTGCTGCTGCCGTCCATGACGAGCGTCTCGTTAGTAGAGTCTGTTAGACCACGTCCCACCATTGGCGTAGTACCACACAGTTTTCTCGATGTCCGTGAAACCAGGGTCACGGGCGGTGGTGTTGATGGCGTCGACTGCGGCAGTGTAAGTCAAACGTTGACTGGCAGATTCGTGCAATGCTTTTCGCCACCCCAATTGCAAGTAAGCTGGAGAAATGGTGCACAGTGCAGACACTCTACACGACGAGCGCTGCTCGGCATTTCCACATTTACATAGAGCAAGTCCCCCGGATGTTGCTCACCGGGTTTGATGCCAAGTGTTGTAGTCTCATGATTACAGCCCGAGCGCGGGCCCAGGGTATGTTTAACTTTGAAACAGTTCCGTTCAAACCAATCGACTTCGTGATGGCGGCAAGGTGGAAGTTGCAGGTTCGGCTCTGCTTGCGAATGTGATAGTTTGAGCTCACAGCAATGTTAATTCCCCTACAGGCATTGGCGTTGGCCCCGTGCTTTTTGACTGTTGAATGAGCCGATTGCTGATTTCCATCTCAAGTGGATGGAGGTTGATTCTATACGTTTTTTCACGCCCCAAATCGCTTTCACGATACATGTTACGTTACAGTCGGCACGATGCAGCAGGCTTACGTTCTGTACCTGCCCAAAATGAACAAATCAGTTACCCACATTCAACTCAACTTCGAAGGTGTGTTCGTGAAAGTTCGCGTCTTCAAGATGTTATTAAAAAATAATTTATCCAGAAACCCTGGGTCCGCGGCTGAAAAAAAGTTTACTCGGTTGTAAAACCAGGAAGCCGTTGAACGAGAGTTTGAAGTTTGACGTAGGTATCGAAGGGAACCATACAACAAGTGATTCACTGTAACAGCAATGAAAGCTGACTCCGGTGCAGATACTGGAACAGGTTCAAGTATCCCGCGCACGTTTATAGGTCGACTGTGAGGATGGTGGACAACGCTTTTTTCTTGGAACCGCAGGATTGAGGCATACTACGTTTGTGGTGAAACCATAGGGGAATGTGAGTCGAATTTTACTGATATCCATTAGAATTTCATGGCCATTTTTGCGTCAGATACTGAGTATGCATCTCTTCCAACTCTAACCCGTCCATGCACATGTATCAGTCAAAGATCGAACAGATCGTAATGCGTTCTCAGTTTCAAATCTAGACCGCGATAACGGATGAGCGAATGCAGCGTTCGAGGCCATGCGATAGTACCTAGTTGGGGTTCTTTTCCGCTTGTCGTCCGGAGAAATTAGACGGATGGCCTGTCCCGTACTATAATGCAAGCACGTACAAGGTCAGATTCAAACTCGATTGGTGAGAATACATTCACAGCTTCTCTTCCTGTCCCACAGTGGATGACTTCCCATAGGCAAAAATAATGTAAGATATAATATAATTTCACGCTTTAGGCACTGGGCCTTGTGTCTCAGCATCAATGTACAACGGACAACTGGCGTCCAATGCGAAAGTCCCCTCAAGAAATTTTCACTCCCCAACACTACCTTCCGTGTTTGTGCTACATGAGGTACTCGTCCGTGGATTTAACAGGAGCTGTGCATGGCAAAGGAATAGCCAGCGTGTTGACTCGTTTTGTCGGTCGAGTTAGCTCGGTGCCCATCAGTACAGCAACTGCAACAATGAGTGCAGGTTTTTCTTTGTCGATTACTTTCATCTCTGTCTCATTGTGCAGTGTTTGATACTGATATGATATCCTCCCGTTGATCTACGGGTTGGTTTTCGTAATTCGACGATTGTCTTTCAAATTCCGGTATATATCAGTCGGACTCATAGTCCACATTATTTTTGGCACTCACCTGTCTAATATGGATAGCGAAGTTGATCAGATAAATGGTAGAAGCTGCCAGTGGGCGCTAGCGCTCATCCATAGTCGACATGGGGCTTCTAACAGCGATAAGAATGCATTAGTACGTAGTTGTTTGAAAGTCATTTCACCGATATCATTACGGTGGTTTATCTCTCCGCGCTCGAGACAGATACGTACAACTTCGCCGATGCGGCAGGGCTTCAAGGCTCGAAGCTCTAGGATTATAATCTTCGCCGATGGCAGGGCTTCAAGGCTCAAGGTTCGAATAGGATCATAATATTACTCCTGTAGAGTTACGTGAGTGAAGGACTTCCTTGGACCCACAGTACCCAGTCACTATCTAGCCGTGCCGGGGGACTCCAAATGTCTGGAATAACAAGCACACACAGTGTACAAAATAACATCGCGTCCCAACACGTTTTTCTAAGTTCTCAGCGCTCTCAGACGGGCGAGTGCCATTGGTGGGATCTACAGGGCAGAAACTCAGTTTGACTGCATGCAACAATACCGGAGGACTCTATATATAGAATGTCAGCATACACGCAGTAAGTAATATCACATGAACATAAATTAGAAAAAAAAAGTAATATCGCTGTTATATGCGTGCTACTTTCCTATATCTGATGGACATGTGAGCAGCAGACCTTCTCATTGAACTATAGCTTACTCACATAATTACGGATGTCATTTGGGAAGCTTGAGAATGACGACTGTGTCATCATCTCTTCGGATTTAGCAGCAGACGAGTCATGGTTATCGATCATGGAGTTAATGGGGGAAAAGTCCCCTAGGCTGACGTCTGGTATGCATTGTTTATACAGTTGGCTTTGCATGTTGTCTTCATGCAACTGGGGGCTGTCTTGACTCAAGGGCATCCGATGGCGATTGCACGGACAGTTGGGCTCGAGTGAATCGGGATGAGCACAATTAACGTTCGCGATGAAAGGCGAATTAGCATGATACGCGGTGTATGGTGTCATGGAAGATGGGGGCGTGCACGCATGGACTGAGTACCGGAAGTGGTATTGAGCAGAGAAGATAAGAACAGGGCGCGGACGACCCGAGGACCTTCCAAGGGGTGCTGGATCTCGACGGTACACATCCTGAATGATGGTGTACATAGTGGGATCTTGGGGGACTAATCATACATCCGTAGCACGTCAAGGTTGGAAAGTACGGACCTGGAGATCTGCACAAGATTTCCCAGAACTTGGGAACTAGGGTTGTGCTGTAGAGCAATGGACCGTCACCAGGCGGGATTATAGAACCGGCAAAATATGGTCCAATGCATTCGAGCTTCGTGTCCTCGCTGTGTATTGGCGCACCATCCAATACAATTATATAGGATGACTTGGCAAAGACGACAGAGGGCGAGACGAAGGTTACTGTGGGATCAATATCCCTTATGCGACGCGGCATGTTCATGGAAGGGTGAAGCGTAGTGACAACTTGGGGCGACTTTGATAGAGAAGATGGCGGTGTATGTAAACATGAGGATGAGCTCGAGCTGCTCGACCATGAGCTGGACTCCGGCCAAATGTCGATGTAGACTGGAGTACGTGTGTTGGGAAGCGGATTGCGTTTAGATGATGGCATGGCTTGGTTATGCTTCTTGTGAAGAGGATTTATGAACAAGTGAGCTGACGAGCTGTATTATAAACAAGTACACAGATATTTATCCCCACCTTTAAGAAACATGGTGATGAAGAGAAAACCTCCACGACGGCTTCCCTCTGCGAAAGATAACATGCGCGTGATAGACTCAATTACTTCCTCAGCTAAATGATGTGTTTCAATCCACGCACAAACGGCATCCGTCGGACTCGGAGAAGATAATATGATCACACTCACATTTGGTTGTGTCCCTGAGTTGCTGCAGACAACCAACTCTTCTCTTTGATGATCTGTGCTTGGCTGCCTGGCAGAAAATGCACTCACATTGAAACAAATTCTTAAACCCTGGTGTTAATCTACTCGAGCTGGGGACAAGAGCCTGCATGACAACCTAGTGGTAGAAGTTTCGACTCGGTTATTTCGGTCTTGTACGTATATCGTCTAACTCGCAATCTATTTCAAATTGCTAGAAGAATGTGTCTGTGTTATGCGAAGTTCAAAATATCCTACTAGATACGGACCTCATCTTCAAACAAGGTTGCCGTGGTGTTGTCTAAGTATTGAGCCGGTCGATTTCCCTCATTCCTGTCCTCTGGAAGTTTTCTTGAATCTGGATAAAACCGCTGTCACTTGTGGCAGCGTCTGTACACCTGAGTTGCCCGAAACCATAGCTGTTGTGGTGGCTAGGGTGACCCACTGGGTCGGTTGCTTACTCAGCCATAGTCCCATTAGATTGATGCAAAAATGCAAAAAAAAATCTTTGCGGATCAATCTGGGATCCGGCAGACGGATCCCGTCAGTCCGTGTATACGCATGATCTAATCTTGACGCCCAAAAGATTTATTCTACAAACCCTCCCGAAGTCCGTTAGCCATTCGAATTCGAGTTCCGGACGTGAATCATGGAGGCATGTAATTCATATATTGTTTTCGTCATGGTAAGGGAGTCATGGGTATGTTGTACGATGCAAACTGTAAATTAGAAGGGGGCTCATATGAGAGGAGTCGAGAACTATCTTCTTCACGCCGGTCTGCAGTGCGCAAATCAAAAAGAATACGTGAAGCCATAACGCCATGCAGGACACCTTGAAACCTGATTATGATAGTTGAGCAGTTAGCACTCAACACGAAGGGCAGTCACTTACACATCAATGATACCGTTCTGCCCGCTTGAGACCTGCACCAATAGTTCATATCTAATCATGGTGGAGTACACGAAAAGCACGTACCGGTAAAGAAAAAGAAACAGCGTTCGCAATAGAGATTGCTTAGAGCACAGTTAGGAGAGACAGAGAAGAAATAGACTTCAGAACAACATACTAAGGAGCGACAATGCATATAGCAAACTTCCCTTCCACAAGTTGGACACCAATCCATTGACGGTACGTATGCCAACAGAACGAGATGTTAAAGAGTGATACATTGTGACAAGAACCACCGCTGCACGAATTTCGTCAGTAGATTCAAAGGAAAGCAGCATCGCCAGTCGCTCACTGAGTTCGAACAGCGCCGCGCTAACGAACATGCCCATGATCAGGTGTTCCACTCTCGTAGCCTCCTCTACGGAGCTCTTACTTGACGTAGGTGCACATACACTTACGAGTTTCGGAGACACCGCCAGGATGTCACAAGTGAGCATTGAGGTAGCAACAAGCTTCAAACCCTGATATTATCACCCGAGTAATAGAATTGCCGAATCACTTACGAAGTAGCTTGCCAACAGAAATCGTTTGATTTTCTTGTTATTATGCCACAAGGCAAGTGTACGCATGAGAAGCAGACCTGAAATATATGGAGGGAGAAATCACTTAATTGACACGAGCGCACATACCTTCGGTAGATAACATGATAAGAACCAGGGAACCTGGGAGACGTTAGGGGACATGTAATTAGTGATCGTGAGGTGACCTACCGCCAGCAGTCCGATATGTTGTCAGGCACTGTGTTAGCATTAACATGATTTAGGTATGGTTCAGAGACAAATTTATTCACCGCTTCCACTGATTGTGGCCCTACAGTGACTGCAAACTAATAAGAATGTTTCTCTCAAAAATGAAGTGTTGCTCACCGTATATTTCACTGATAATCCATACTATGGGAGCATATCTTGTTATGATAAACATGACAGACGCGATGTTCAAACGGCCCATGGTGCTAAACAGACGAACTTCATGTTCAAATGTCAAACAGTAATCGAATGCCTAACGAAGGAGATGAGGTCTTGGACAGACTTTGGAGAATAGTGCACGCCTAACTCACCCAAACAGCAGCCGGTGCAACTTTGCCAGCACTTCAACACAGGCTGTAACGGACGAGAAACTCCAATAACGAACCTCTAAAGTACTGTAAACAAAGCACGAGAGTCAGGTCAAAAGGCTGGATGGTGAAGCGTCGCTCATTCATACCTTGATCGTCTGCAGTGTGTGAAGTAAAACCATAGATAATGTATGTTCAATGTTGCGTGGATTAGCTTGGGCCACTGAGTGGGCGTGTCTTTTTCAATACGTCAGGTCCTTCAGCATTTGGTGGGCGATATGATCGCAAGCTGGGTGAACAATGAAGACTCAAGAGGGATGATAAGTTGGAGGGAATCTTATGAGTCGGCTGCAATTAAGAAGCGACCGTGATACGGGAAAAGATTTCAGACCCACGTTATCGAATCATCGGACCCTTCCTCTTGTGTGACCAATCATGATGCCGCATCTTGGAGCATCAGCTGCGTTGCTGGCAATCCGTGCACAACGACATGAAGCAACGAGTTCCGTTTGAGCCGAACGACGGAAGTCATTTGAAGATGTAGTTATGCTTGCATGAACAGCATAAGTGTTGCAGCGATTGGAATATCATATCGCGTCTGCTACTTGAAGCGAGTAGTTCCCTAGATAGTACTGGCAGCTGTGTGAAGGAAAGAGCATGTGCGTGTACGTAATCTCGGAGAGTTTTACTTCTTAAAGGTGGTGTCGGTAACACTACTAGTAACCACCCCATCAGTAAACCGGTGAAACTCAGATATTAGTCGATATTGTCAGGCCCAATGCTTCATTACATATCTGGCACCTCGGCTGGGGATATCAGAGTCTCACCGGTTTACTGATGCAGGTGTGTCAACCCAGGTTATACCGTTATACCGTTACAATTCCGGGTTTCAAACAAGGTTTTTGATCATGATGCGATCATCTCACTGGTAGTATAATCACAATCTTATCCCACTGCAGCATGTCCCTGCAAGCCGTCATATATCATATGTAAGGCCGAATCCACCATATGCCTCAGGTCTGTGTATATACAATTGATTTGCGACTTGTTCTCTGACTCAGTACTCAGCATGCATGCTGTCGCGGGCGCAACTTGAAGTCGTTGGTAAGTACTGCTCTAGCTACTATGCACAATGCACATTGCAGGGCCTCGTTGCAAATATTCGCAGAGGTGCATCCCTGTGCTCCTCTACTAATTGCAAGAAGGGCAATTCTAGGCTGGGATTTATGTAACTTTCCGATAGCAGGCCACGGCAAGGGCAGCCCTTTAAAAGAAAGCCTTGAGATGGCAGCGCGAAATCCACTGTTAATGACACGACACGAATATGTCTGCATACAGGGCTGCCACCTCCCACGAAATGTACTACATTCCCTTGTCACAGTCAATCTCGCACCCTCAGCGAGGGTAATTGCCGATTGCCCCCTGATGGTATATTCAAGAAAGAGCTCATGAAGGTAAACGCTTCTCATCATATGTTGACTGCGCAATGACACATCCCTTCCCTGCTGGCGAACAGCGAGCGATTTAACACCAGGTCCACAGCTGAGGCCGCGATTAGAGATATGTTGCAGGATCTCCCGCTTATGACACTGAGCTACCTGGGCGTCTGCAATTTCGGCATAAGGGACGAAATGGAAACAACTACGACTACGGCGTCACTGATAATAGATCCGCCTCGACTAAATTCTGCCACGTTTTTGTTTATCTAAAGGGCCTGCTAGCCGGAAACAAAGTCAGATGATACAACAAGCCCCAAACTTGCTGCAGTCAAACACGAGTTTAGCGATTGAGCGCGTATTCGAACTTACAGTTACGGCGTCGGCATTCTGCGTGCTTCCAATACCATTTTCAGCATGTCGATGTTATGCGATGATGAAAAGAAGCCGGACATGACATTGTCGTCGAGAATGACACGCGTCTGCGAGGCGGACATGGACGATCTATGAGATAGGGCTCCTGAGTACGAAAAGGTTGAAGTCGTGCGGTAGCAGCGATGTCTTGGAATGTCTTTAGCAGCGACCTGAAGTTTTTCTATGTTTACAGAGGCAACGCGATCTGGGCCTGGCAGTTAATTGTTAGAGGTCCTCGATATTCGGTCCTAGCTGAAATCTTGCTTGAAGATGGGTTGGCGAGAGCTGCAGGATGCGATACAATTCCAAGTCGAGAAGAATAGGGGACCGAATTACATAAGTCATGGATGATAAGAAATGACACAACCTACATGTTGTTCTCTGCGTGTTTCCTCGTGTGATCGCTATTTAGCAGTATGAGTTAGGGGCGGCGATGGTCAATTGGGACTGCTTACACGTAAAGGTATTGGCGAGTCTGCATGGCCGAATACTAGTACTGATCAATTACACCATATGTATACAATGATTGTTACAACGCTCTCACAACCTGCAGATTCAACAACCCAGTATCCACTGCCTAATAATACAAACAAATTGGTCTCCTGGCATGCACAAAGTTCAGACAACAGGGTCTGTAAAACTCCGTCGATAATTGACTCGAGATTTGTGAAAAATATGACGCACCTGCCATTGGTTGTGTATTGCCTTGTCCTCCTCGACCACGTGTATCATAGTCTGCACGGCGCTTGCATTTAGCATTCCACACAGCGGAAATTTCCTCTTACCATCTGGGTTTCTCGAAGCAGCTCCAGCTCGCTTGCCAGCCCCAGGGTCCTTCTGCTCACCCTTGGACAGTCTTTTCACTTCTTCCTTTGTGAGTTCATCGTCCGGAATTTGTTGTGTGGCTGCAGATGGGAAAGAGTCCACCGGCGTGTCTCCGACGAAGTGTTGTGTAGCGGCTGCCATGTTTCGAATAGGTGCAAGGAATTCGTGGACAAGAAGCTTCGTGGGTTACATAAAGTACTGACGAGGGCGCCATGCAATGATGTCATTTTGACTCCAAGTACCAAATATGGCTATCTCCACTGACATAAGCAACTTGCGAAAGGAACGACGTGATCGTGCAAAACACAATTGTTCCAAACCAATATGAACGGATGATATTACATATGAAATACACTGTGTGCATGTTTCTAACATGTCACGACTTGAGCTTGAGTACCGAAGCAAATCCGTAACGAGGGCTTACCCTGAGGCTACCGCACTCCCACTTAAACTCTGACGGTTTCTATAGGTGACTTGATACACTATGAGTTCCGTTCAGTGGGCGCTCTTGGACACGGTGTTGCGATGCTAGATGCAGAAGTAATAGGATTGCGCGAGGCACAAAGTGATCTCCGTCAATACCCCCAATTTTTTTACGGTGCCTTTTCACTTCAAGATCAAAGGTGATGCCGTCTGCAAGGCGTCCATCACGAGTCCGTGGAAAATGGTGTGCCCTTATCGTACATAACTTACGTTGGAGAACCAGAAAGGGGAAACTGAGGAGAAGATGTGGTTGAAACCAATGCAATATGTCAAAATTTTAAACCTTATGCAGTAATGATACCCGAGTGGCGCAAGATCTGGCAAGTACTCTGGCCAATCGATCAACGTGTTTGCGTTATTGGAAATAGAATAGGCCTCATCTTCTCGTTGTTTCTCTACGTAGACAAGGAAACAAGAATCAGCTGAGATAAGTGAATGACACTTGCAGGGCGACTCACCGCGGCAATATCAATCCAGACCCGGGGTGCCGTTTTCCGCCCTCTTGTCGATCAGCTTAAGTTCGTAGGGCCAGAACCGTACTCAGCGAATGATAGAAGCGAGTCTCACCTCAGTGAACCATTGTGGGCCCGTCGTCTAGACTTCGCAGTAGGCAACGCGTGCCTAGATTTCAGTATGCACAGACAAATTATTTACTCCTTATGCGTAGTAAGTGCGCGACAGGCCCGACGTGGCCCTAGAACGGTCGTTGATCCTATGTTTCGAGTGTTGAATGTTGAATGTTTTGATTTCGATCGAGAACTCTGAGCTTCCAAACTGCGATGATTCATGGTTGTCTTGAATGCTGACGGCGCATGGTCCTTTCATGCCACAGACGGAGATGAGGATAGGTAGCATATGGTCCTAGCAGAACGTTGAAGATTTGGCCGAGGGTCTCCAAGGGAATGAACCATGATTCTTCTTACCTTGACCTTTTGTAGATAACCAAAAACGGATAGTGATCCCGCTTTAGCCCCATTTGTATTACGGTTTGTATAAGAACAAAAGAAGTTTAGTGGATGGACGGTCCAACCGTCCCTGCATATTTCAAGATTCGAGACGCTCACTGTTTTTTTTATATCTTTCTCTCTCTCTCTCTCTCTCTCTCTCTCTCTTAACCTTGTGGTCTTTCCTTTCTCTCAAAGCATCATACGCGTTGCACGCGAATTTGGCCTCCAAGAGTCCACATACACCACTCTTTTCCTGTCGATCCTTTTCGGTACAACACAATGACTCTAAAATTGCTTGCGCTATCGTCTCTCGCTTTGCTAGCTAACGCGCATATGGCCGCGTATCACAAGGCAATGTATTGCTTTAATGTCAGTCTAATGCTCCATGTCGCATGATTCAACGCTGATAGTAGCATTCTGCCTGTAGGGAACTGTGGCGGGACAGGTCAATTATAACAATGACGACCCTGTCAGCCCCTTGTGGATGTTGCAGAAGAGTGATTACTGGTTTCATCATTTCAACGGGGTGAGTTTATATTTTTTGAAGTCATGAGTTTATACTTATATTGTTTAGTGTGATGAGTTTCCCCCTGCGCCAGGAGACTTCCTTGAACTGTGTGTTTTGCGTTCTGTTCTGATTGTGTAAATCTCACTGTCTGTCTCAGACCTGCCGGAAGTTCCTTTACTGTTGAAGTAGCCGCTAACCGCGGTGTGACGTCCCTGTCGTTTAATGGACAATTTGCGACTGAGTGGGGTGATGGTCAAAATCACCCCGAGGACTACTCCATCGCAAATTTGGCAGGCGCTCCTCTTTCTGGTAGTGATTGCATAGGTAGTCCCAATAGTGAGTACAGATCAGACCTGGTCGAACAGTCGCACTCACGATCGGTAGTGCATACACAGAACCAGTCTATGGCTGCTGGGACTGCATTCGCAATCTCTTACCAGGTCTGCTACTGTTTGCTGTCTGATTGAACGCAAAGCTTACCAATCGAACAGTCGGAACTCAGCGAGGTTACGATTGACAACCTCGTCGTGTTTACCGTCCGCTATAAGTGCGTTCATATCCGATGACCCTGTGAATACCCCTGACCCTCATTATAGTACCCCTTGGAAACGCATCACAAGCTACGATGTTCCCAAGGACATGCCTGCTTGTCCCGCAGATGGTTGCACTTGTGCTGTGAGTTATTAATGGTTTCTCTCGACAAGGCTAACTTTCATTCATCTTCAACAGTGGGTTTGGGTTCGTTGCCTCTCGGTTGCGTTTCATTACCGTTAATTAACACCATCTTTAGATTCCGGATGGGTGCGGCGAGCCTAACATTTACATGCAAGGATTTAAGTGCATGGTCACCAACGCTACCTCCACTACCCCTGTTGCCACCCCTAAACCTCCCGTCTGGTGCGAGGAGGACCAGAGTACATGTACTCAGGGCGCAAAGCAAATCCTGATCTGGAATCAGGCTGAGGGCAACAATATCGCAGTCAACGGTAGTGACCTGAGCGGTAATGCTAAGAGTCCGGCGTACAATAGCAAGTGTGGGTTCCAGGACGGTGAGGGTTTTCATGCTTTGGTTGTCATTGGGAACATTTTGTCTGATATGTCGCCACAGGAGCACAGAATGACATCTTTGGTACATCGTCCTCTGCCGCCGCCCCGCCTGCAGCAATTGCTTCATTACCCTTATCGGCTACTTCATTATTCTCTTCAGCTTCTGCATCATCCTCTTCAGCTGTTGCATCATCCTCGCCAGTCGTCTCATCTTACCCATCACCTTCTTCGTCACCTTCTTCGTCACCTTCTTCGTCACCCGCTTCATCATCTAAGATATCTTCTAGTGCTGTAGCCTCGTCAGCTGTTTCATCATACCCATCACCTTCTTCATCGCCCGCTTCATCATCCAAGATCTCTTCTAGTGCTGCAGCCTCGTCAGCTGTTTCATCATACCCATCACCTTCGTCACCTTCATCACCCGCTTCATCATCCACGATCTCTTCCAGTGCCGCAGCCTCGGCGGCCTCACCTCCATCGTGCGAGACTTCTACTAGTACAACGTTCATTACAACTACGGTTCAGCCACCTGTGGTTGCAACCACCCCTACATCAAGTGATCGCGCCACCTCACAATCGGCCAACAATCTCGTAGCCACTGCTGTATCGAGCTCGTTGAGCGTCACCCCGACAGGTCACAAGACTTGCCGCAAGCGGATGGTTCACAAGCCCGTCCGTCGTCGTTTTCTTTTCAAGTAGTTGATCTACGCTGCTATCCTGTCGACTACAACCATCTCTTATTGTTGAGCGGGCTCGACTATCTTTTGTTAGCTCGTCTGTAGATTGTGAGTTTCGCATTCCCTCGGTTTCGTTTTTCTGTTGTCATATTCTTGAAGTTCGATTATTGTTTATGCATATGCGCCGTATGTTGTCGTTGCTACCATCTCGGCGTTGGCACTCATTGAATGAAGCTCAATGTATTTTACTCTGCATACATTCCCAGATACCAGATACTAGATACCGCATGCTGAATTCCCATGTACCAGTCTTCCTTGCATTGGAAGGCAGCAAACTTGTGTGATTCTCTACAATTGTTTTTCTACTGATTCTTGATGAAACTACTAGATGTCCACGGGAGTTCGCGCCTTTTTGGCAAAACGGTTATTACTCCACATCGCACAAACAAACAAAATTAATTATTTGACAGTTCGATAGCGTGACATCGAAAGTACAACGTCTGCTAGTTTCTTTTTTGAAAATTGACGTGTTGAGTCCAGCGGAGAGTTACCGCGCAGAAAAGTGCATTTTCCCTAGAGTTCGCGCACTTCGTCACACTATGTCACACGTCTGCCGCAATGCCTTTTCACGCTCCGCAGAATTTGCACCGTTTAAATGTTGTGAAGTTGTGCATGTGTAAAGCATTTCGGCATTGCGGAGTTTTGATTACACAGTCTCTATGTAACGCTTTGGGCAGATTGTCACGTCTGGGGCTTATTTCTTTATCGCAGATGATCCTGACAAGCATGTGCCCCGAATAAATTTGTTTTAGTATTCTCTAATCATGTATATAACCATCTCACAATATTCCAGAATTATATGTGGAGATCTGACCTTTAGAGTGAGCCTTCTATGCCTCTCGCACTGATAAGTTGCCCATGGAACAAGATCTACTTCGATTTTCTTCAAAAAATATATATGGGAGTGTGTATTATGTTTGGGCGAATCCAGATCCATCATGGATAAGGATTCTGTGCAGAATTGCGTGTGCTAGAGTCAATAGCGGTTCTCAAAGTTGACTTCGTAGAATTTTGGAAGGTCAGAAATTTGCGCGTTGCCGGTAGTATTGAAGCTCCGACGCTGACAAACAAACCCTAAGCTTTCAAGCTGTACCATCTGCTATAGCGTTCTGCAGCTCCATCAATATGCCCCGTGAATCAGATCGAAAGAAGCTGCTTCGCAGCCTCAAACAAACCAGAAATGACCTTACCATCGCGCGATATATGGAACTAATCGAGTTTATGATAGATCAGCTACTAGATGAAGACGACGATGAAGACGATGATAAGGAATCTGACGACGCTGTCGATGGCCATAGTGGCTCGGATATTAGTATACGGTCCGCATCACCAACATGGCCAACGTCCCCAGTGTCCCCCACGTCGTCGATCGCGTCTGCCTTGTCAAACAACTCTCTGACGTCACTCTCCACAGCGTACTCCGAATTCCTATCGCGCGATATCCCAGATATGTGCGAACGAGTCTTTACTCAGTTTGCCGATGCAATCACTGCACTGCATGACGAGGTAGAGAAATGTCGAGTCCTTGATGTCCGTCCATCTCTAAGTCGCGCGCCTCAGCTACACTTGCTGGAGGAGTGGGCTCTATTCTCACCTGAAAAATTCCGTCGCAAGCTCCGTGTTGACGCGGACGTGTTTGATGAACTTACGAAGTTGATTCAAGGACATGCCATCTTCTACAACAATTCGAATAACCCCCAGCTCCCTGTCCCAATACAGCTCGCCATTTTTCTCAACGGCGCTGGCCATTATGGCAATGCCGCAACCACTGAAGACATCTCTGACTGGGCTGGAGTGTCCGTGGGGACCGTCTACAACTGCTACAAACGGGTGATGATCGCAATCCTTCAACTTCATGACCGGGCCATTCATTTTGATCCGCTTGATCACGAGGATCAAATTGAGCGAGAGCGGGCGAAAACTTACGTCGAAAGTAAGACGTGTCATGAATGGCGTGGAGGCTTTCTTTCTGTAGATGGGACTCCGTCCCCCTTACACGAGAAGCCAGGTTGGCATGGGGAGGGTTTCTTCGACAAGAACTCAGACTATTCTCTAACAGCGCAGGTAAGTGTCGGTTCGATGTGCAGCGTGGTGACTTACCATCAAAAAGGTTGTTATATTCCCTCATAATCTTCGTATCGTGGACTATGTCATTGGCGTACCTGGAAGTCTCCACGACTCAAACGTATTTGCGCGGACAAGAGTTTCCCGGGATCCTGAGTCGTTTTTCGGTGCAGGAGAGTGGCTGTGGGCAGATTCGGCGTACGCTGCGCGAACCTGGTGTGTGCCGCCGTATAAACGGCCAGTGGGAGGGAGTTTGACGCTGGACCAAAAGACGTTCAACTATAACCTATCAACAGTGAGTGTTACGTCGACTGTAGGTCGGCGTAGTGGGAACTAGGATAGGTCTTCTCAGCGACGAGTCGAGTGACTCTACTGAAGCTGAGCGTGGTCTGGCCTTGACGGAACGTCAAGGATTCCTCCGGCGATCTCGGTAAGACGGCGCTCGTCGAGATGCAGGGCTAGCGGATACGTGCAGAGGCGTATGGGAGCGACTCTGAAGTGCGGTCTCACACAAGGAAGCAGTTAAGCTTAGATGAGCAAGTTCTTGGTAGAACCTAGTAGATTAAAGTAAAGATCAATCTACAACAATGTGCCTACTTATACATAGTGTATGTAGGTGTTCAAGCTCAGTCTGTAATCTATAGTATATCGTACATCTAAGATAACCAGACATGAGGTTAGATAAAGTACATGAGGCTTAACCTCTTGATCATACATGCGGCGCCAAGGGTAGCTGCGCATAGGTACAGGAAGCGCCAAGCGCTCTGGGTCTTCATACATGAGGCGCCTAGGGCGCTCCGGATCTTCATGAAGCGACATGCTGTATACATGCGCTGATCTAGGGTGACCATGAGGCGTACTGCCTCCATGGATCAGGTACAAGGCCGTCTAGGCCAGGGGCGGGGTCATAGCATCAGGCGGGGTCATAGCGCCATGAGGCGGGGTCGTAGCGGTCCAGACCGCTGTCTTTCTAGGCGCAGGCGGCGCACCGCCGCGCGGGGAGTCTAGCAGAGCGGGGGCAGGTGTAGGGAGAGCTGGGGCTCTAGTAGGTGTTACAGATCCCTGTAACAGTGAGTATGAATGGCAATATACATTCATAGTACTTACCCAACGTCTAGGTCCGTGTTCGTTCAGAGCATTTTTTCGGCTCTATCAAGGGCCGGTTCCAATCACTGCGGGAGCTTCGCATCCCAATCCAAAGTCAGAAGGACCTCGACTATGCAAACATGTGGATCCGTTCGTGCTTTGTTCTGCACAATCTAATCGTCGAAATCGAAGAAAAAACACACCATGAAGACACGAACATCTGTTTCTATCAGCAAACTCGGAGGTTGAGGCGGGCTGATGGTGACGCAGGAGAGGATGATCAGCAAGGGGGTGGTGCAGTAGGTGATCAAACTTACATTGGAACTGCAGGGCAGGATTTTCGAAACGTGTTAAAGGCGCGGTTGCTTTCCTCATTGGAGCGAATCGCAACACATTAAAGATGTGTTTGTCAAGTAGAAGTTCTTCGTCCTCCTTAGCACCTAACCTTTGTCAAGTAGAAGTTCTTCGTCCTCTTTAGTACCCAACGAGGGAAATTTGCGCTTGAGCTCAAAGCGCTTATCCCAAACCTGTAGTGTTTGCTGTGTGTAGTCACGCTTGAGATCGAGTACAAAATGGCATGCATTTCCGAGTCCTAAAAACGAGTCGCATGATGACACAGTACAGACCTACTTCAGTTTTGATCAGAACCACGCTCCATAGCAATACGACGAATCCGAGCCTCCTCCTCTTCTCGACGTGCACGAGATAGCTCAAGCTCGAGTCTTGCAAACTCGATTTGTTGAGTCATCCTCTCCTGCTGGTGGAGATGGTCTTGTTCCGCAAGACGCATCACATGCTCCCGCTCATCACGAGCACTGCGGGCCTTGAGATCACGAGCCCAAATGTCGCCCTGAAGTTTCATACGTTTGTAGCTTTCGTGCTCGACACGATTCTCACGTTTGCTCTCAAGGTGCTTCATTAGAGAGTCTGCCGTTTGGGACATTTTTTCTGCAGCGGCAGAGGTCTGGTCAAGAGCACTGCCGCCAGGGCGTTTGCGTGATGAAGAGGGGGGACGACTAAACTGAGGTGATGCACTTCGAGTAGGTGGACAAGACCGTTTTGTAGCAAGAGAAGGTGAACTTTCACGACTTCCCTTAAGCGAGCTGACACGGAGAGACCGCAGTGCTCGGCTGGCACCAATATCCGAGTCTTCTGAGTCGATAGGCGTAGACTGATAGCTAGGTGAAGATTCCCTAAAATCGGAAAAAACAGACAATGGATTATCGGGGGCACTGCGATTGGGTACTGGCGAGCGCTCAGGAGAGTTCAACGATACCACTCCAAGTGCGTCAGAAGTTGAGATGGGAGGGAGCTGAGATCGTTGGAACCAGTGTGGCAATGGAGGCAGTGAGAATGAGTCAGGTGTGTTGCTAGGACCACGGTCCAAAGGTACAAGCGATGATGATGCTGATGATTGTGATTCTATGCGGGGGGGCTGGTCGACTATCATTTCATCTGCCACATCGACAACGGCACCATCGTCCACACTGCGAGTATCGACCTCGACTATGTCTCCATCATCATCCGTGCGAGCATCGTCGTCAACTGTAGCCGGTGGTTGTGGGTGCTTGGAAATATTGAAATGTTCCAATGCAGCAGACGCAAAATCTTGCCCTGCATCCGCAGTAGAGAAGGCATGATTGAAGGCTGGATTTGTCCGCCACCAGCCATGAAGCTCAGGCCACCAGGGAAATTTTTCGAGCTTTGTATCTGATGGAGACATGGTTCAGACAGGCGCAGATCAACAGCAGCTGAAACTTACCGATCAAAGACTTGATCTTTGGATCTTCTTGCAGCTCCGCATATGTCTTTCCTGCTCCCGACTGTTTGAGGTCCTTGTTAAATTCGTTGTATTTTTTCCTCAGTCTGAGACATCTGATCAGTGATTCCAGTGGGAAGATGGATGACGCAGGAACTAGATACTTACGTGCCGAAACAGGTTGAAACTGGTTTTATGAATGCCTTGGGGTCCTCCTTGAAGAGTCGTTGAACCTCCAGATCCTCATCGTTCGAAAATACAGCTTGTGCGACCTGTGAATACACAACATCTCTCGAAGTACCACTCTGCTTCTTCTTCCGACCTTGCTCCTTGGCATCCTTTACAGAATCAGAGAAAAGCTTGATGCGTGCGTCTTCATTTTCCTTGCACCAGGCAAGTAGGCGTTCAGTACGAGCACTACGGACCCCCTCCCAATGGATAGTACACTTCTTTGAGGTGTCCGTACCAGCAGATGTATTGGTTCGACCTCTTTGATTGGATCGTGACATGATCCAGGATATTCCTACTGACAGCGATTAAGAATCAGATTAAAGCTTTAGCAGCGTCGACACCAGCAGCAACGATGTTGAGCACGCTGGCAGGGCAGGTCGGAGTTCAAAACCTGCCGTATCGGCAGCATCCGAATTCACCATGATTTTTTTCAAGGTTCGACTTTGAGAACCGCTAATGCGCGGACTCTTGGGACACACGGACTCGTGGGACCATCTAGTAGTAATGCGGCAATTGTACTGTTCAGCTCCCGGTTCCCGTGAGAATTCTTGATTATATAAGTTTTTCTGACAGTAACGCTTCTTGATCAACCTCACGTTCAATGTCCAACTCCCTCGTATTCCCAAACACGAAAAGTTACTGGTCACGAGTCTACGATGGCATTGGAGTCCAGATATTCGACAAAGCCAGGACCCATGAGAATCCTGAGAATTCTCATGGAATCAAAACTGGCACCCGCTGTATCAACACTCAACGCTTGTACGGCGTAATCCAGCCTTCCTCGATTTCTTTTGCTTTTGAGTGTCTTCAGGCAGTAGTGAAGGGGGCAAAACTACTTGGGGTCAGTTTTACTGGCGAAACTCTAGGCTATATGTAGACTATGTGTACGACATTCCTAATGAAGACATCAATGCTGCCTCCATCCATCCTCGCCATTGTAATTACCTCAACCTCATGTATAATAGCCTGCGGTATTATTACTTGTTCGACCCGATTCAACTCGTTGAAATCAAAAGCATTTCCCTCCAGCACTTCAACTTCGTTAATGTTCTAAACTTCTCCAGTGTTGATGTTCTTCAACTTTTCGAGAGCCACAAATTCGGCAGCGACATTGCCAGGCGACATACTCTCTGAACCGACAAGGAGGTCATCTGCATCACGAGGCTTGATCAACAGTGGGGATGCCCACGCAACAGATGCTTCAAGATCCCGTGCAGTCTCAAATCTCAACAGCAATCCCAACCTCTTTTGTTACGAGTGTGCATCTGAGCGTGTCGACGACGGGTTGACTTCCCAGTCTCTGCGGCTTTTATGGCGCTGTGGTGTCGAAGGTTCGCACGAATTTTGTCGAGTGTCTCAAATGTCTCAAGTGAGAGCTTACACCGTCGCGTGGATTGTGTTGTCGAGATCAGAGAATATGCGCTCTACTTTGCCTGCATGCCCCACAATTGAGAGACAGCGGGGTCGCTGGTCTTTTCCGTACTAAATAGGTGCGCTGCTTGACGTAGAGGAGCAGTTGCATTTGTACAGTGCTTGATAAGATGGCTCGGTAGGTTGTTGTCACGACTTGGATTCGAGCACCTGATAAGCTACCAGCAGTGTCTCCGCAATGTTTGCATTTCCAGTAGTAGCTATGTGAGTTGTTCGGAACTTGTTCCAGGCGCTCAAAATTGTTGTTGATCAGTGACGGGAGAGGGCGTCCTCCAGGCTCCAGCATGCACCATCTTGCCATAGGGAAGTTGATTTTTATGTTCGATTGAATTTAAAATCAGATCTAAGTTGCATCTCCGCGAGTCTGGAGTTCTGCCAAGCTTTGTCACCCTCCGCGTGAGTTTTTCCAATAAGACTACCAGGCAGCTGTTGATCTGACGTGGCCTGTGGTGACCGAATATATGATGCATGACCCGTAATAGGCCAACAGCCTACCGCGACCTGCCCCGTTAGGCCATGGAGATAATCTCTGCTCATTTTTGGGCGAAGTTCGTGGTAATCACAACTCATTTTGAGGAGGGGCGATAACTCTCCTCATGGAGAAACCTTCATCCCATAGGGCCATTAATAATACACTGATCCTAATTAACGAGCACTCTCAATCGTCACGTTATCCAGACTTCTTCTCATATGCCGTTTCCTTATTCCCCCGGCAGCAATGTTATAATTGATGTATGCTAATAGTTATTCCTAGTTTCCCCTTTAGCCCGATAAATGTGCACTGGCAGGTGGCATGCTACTCTTTAAATTTCTCGCCTTGGGTTTCAAGCTGACATTGAACGGTTAAGATGCTACGCTCGACTGTCCTCGCTTTCGCTGCTCTTGTGTCACTTACTTTGGCAACCCCTTTAATATACGATGGCCGTGCCCCCTTCAACTATACCATTGAAGACCTGGACAATTCTGTGGACCCATACTTATCGTAAATATCGTCTCGTTTGCCGCTTCGCCAAACGTGGGTTAACTTCGCTTCAGAGTAGTGAAAGGCAGTATGAATGCCTCACATGTATGGTTGTATCCCACTTGTTGATGATCGACTACTAAATAGCCGATTCGCAGTATACTCAACTCCTTGGGCACGCGCTCAATGCTACCCCATTGTGGTCACCCGATCTGTGGTCTCCTGTAGAGCAGCCGATAACTGTTTCGATTGACAATACTTCTATCTTTGTCCCTGGAAGTGGCACGCCTCAAAACGGTTTCCGCAGGACGGATCTCATTGCGCAAAAGGATGGGAACCATACCGCCTTGAACGCTATTGCCGATGTAGGAACCACTGTGTTCCACGTATCCATTCTGGAGGAGTTGGAGAAACCTTTGAATATGAGCCATGAGTACCAGATCGTCTGGATTGAGCCTAATGACGGAAGCCACGTTTTCGAAATACAGCTCGGTCAGTGTTACATGATGCCAAAGTTGTTATATCTTCCCCCCCTGACACACCCGGATATAGGTTCACCTTTCACCATCCCTACAGGCATTGTACCTGTCTCTGATGCTCGATTTCTGAAAGTCCGCAACCATGCGCTTGACCTTCTGTTTGAAACACCTTTTACTCCCTACGACTGGCATAACTTTGCAGTCCAGATCGACTGGACGAATCTTACCCTTGGCGTCTTCTATTCTACCAATGGAGAGCCACTGAAGGCTGTCACTGGCCTCGTGGAGAATTCGAGCGCTTCACCCGGTGCAGCTGGCCAAGGCGACTATCATTTTGGTGTACTGAAGGTAAGTAAGCCACTGTATGACTCGATAAAGGGTTGTTGAATTGCAAAGTAGCTTCCACTCGCAGATCCCAATGAAACAGCTTCGCAGCAGGGCGATGTTGTGCATTTCGGTATCCAGGAGGGTGATACCGAGGCGCTGACATATTCGGGTGTATTCATTGAGAGTATCACTGGAGGCGTCAGTGCAGGATATGGGAAGACTATCGCTCCAATATCTTGAGAGGGCGTGCTTGGCCTAAAGTCCGACAGGTTTCGGGAGAGGACTAGAGCTGCAGGAGCGCTGTTGGCCATGATTGTCTGATGTTTGGCGCCTAGATGCTACGAGAATATAGTTGCAGAAGGGTATGAAGTAGACAGTGTAGTACGAGCCATAACGGTAAAGCAACATTTCGGCACAATACTTTCTCAATTTGTTTGTGAGCCTCTCGACTTCATGGCATGGTGTTGGTACCGGACAAATGAAGTCAAGGACATGATAAACGATAAACGATGTTAAATTGGCTGATCAGGGCAACATCAGAGTTACATAATTATGATGATGGTCACTGACAAAGAACTAGGGATGGTTGCCTAAAATGGCAAGCAATAAACACCTTGTCGGATTGATTCATCGACGCGAACAACGGGCTCTGGGACATGCAATCAACAGTCCCCAGGCGTGCGTCGACGCTAAATTCTGCAATACCATTATCTCTTGTAGGTTATACGGCGGACCTGTACTCGGACTCGCGCAAACACGGCTACCAAGGACCAGTGAGAAATGTCCGCTTACACCGTGCAACAACCAATGGTGGAGGGACGATTGCGAAGAGCGACGATGGTTTGAGATGCGTTGTTGCGGGACGAGAATGTGAGCCACTTTTCAATATTTTGTGTAGCACGAGATTGACGCGTCATCCAAAATTATTGTTAGCCTTGCGCATCTTGCGTCTGTCTGATCCAGAAGATGTCATAAATAGTGACCACAAAGCCTCTATTGGTCGCGGTGGGCATCGTATTGAAGCGTCACGGAATATATGGGATGGAAGTGGCTTGAAGATTGACAGTGCAAGTACTGATGTTGCCTGGTGCCATGGCAGTAAGCGGTTACAGATACTACAATGTTCAGCGCTTCATTCCCATTTCCTCCTCTGAAGATTATAACAACAAGATTCTCACAAGCGCGCGGAATGGGGACCTCATTATGTGGGATCTCAACAGAGCTGGTAATGCCAAGTATGGTGCGTAGACTAGTCTGATATCAGATTCTACATCTCAAATACCGTTAGAAAGGAAGACGAAGTTTCATATCCGTTCGATTCACAAGTTATCCTGTTCCACTATAGTTCCGTACTACTGTGTTACAGGTTCTGCTGATGGCGATATGCGTGTCTGGGTGTGTACTTATCGTGTGCCGGCCTCCTCGGTAGCTCACTTTCGCGTAGGATCTTCGGGATATGTCGAAGTCCATCATGAAGATCCACCATCCAACCTCTGTTCGCTCTCTTGTCTTTTCACCATGTCTATCCCATCCCCTTCAAGCTGTTGTAGGTCTTGACAACGGATCAATATATCGCTGGGATCTTCAAATGGGTCAGAGAGGTCAACTCGACAGGTTACCCGTCGCACATACAGGTCCAATTCTTGCATTGGACTGGTGTAGTACTCCGGGCTCCAATAATGCCGGGGATGTTATTGGTGCCGATAGGAGCTGGATAGTCAGCGGAGGTTTGGATCACACTGTCAAAGCACGTTGGTTTTTTGCACTATTGCGCTACGTTTACTCATAAGCATCAGGTATGGGACCTTGCTACATCTGGCACGTCCGTTCATATTGCGCATCAGCCTACCTATACCCTACATCCGTCATTCCCTGTACGCCGAGTACTCTGGCGTCCTGAGTTTCCCTCCGAGATTGCACTGGTGTCCAATGAGGACTTTGGCGGAGGGAGTGGCAGTGAGCTATTAGCCAGCCCTCGACTGCAGTCCGCAACTCCAGCGTTCATTAATGCCTCCAGTTCTGTCACTAAAGACAAGGATCCCAAAAGTAACGGTGCAGATGCTGTAGAGATATGGGATGTAAGACGTGGTTGGATTGCTAAATGGACTGTTGAAGTGAGCTTGTCGGAGGGGGGTGTGACCGGTATGTATTCAAATCACGTCAGGTCTCATTGAAGTAACCACATGGGTGCCCCGCATCTGCAGATGCCATATTCCGTGACTCGCATGGGCTTTGGGTCCAGCATGCATCTGGAACATTTGCTCAAGTTGACTTACGTAGGTCTGTACGCCCTATTGATGCCGTTCCGCGCGTGGCACTCTCTTGGAATGTTGGTGTCGATGGGGATACCGACGGAACATTAGCTTTTGTCTCAGACAGGAGGGCCAGATGGGAAGTGCCCTACGACGATATGTTCGTACTCTCCACTTTATGTCGCAGCTGTCTTCTCATTTGTGATGCAGTCACCCTGACAAACGACACGTACTTTCTGAACGAAAGCTCAAACTAAAATGCCTTGGTGACAAGCCTCGCATGCCCGTTCTGCAGACTATGGGTATGTATGTACGCGGAGGGCTTCGTGATACGGAATCTGTGGGGTCATTTGAACACCTGGCAAGAAAGTACCTTGTCGAGTCTGACGGGAGAAACAGGACCGCCGTTTGCAAGGTAAACGCCGAGGTGAGTGCTCTTTCTGTACGGGGCGTGTCTATAAGTGAACAAATATCCATAGGCGTCTATCCAAGCAGGAAGCGTGCACACAGCACAAGTATGGTTGCTACTTGGCTCTCTGCTTACCGACGTCATTCCGGAGTACATTAAACCTTCACCTCATTCGGAGAAGAACCATCAGTTTCCTGCGCACCTCACGCACTCTACTTCAGCCCCTGCTGCCATCCCTACACTTAGCACAAGATCTGGACCACATGCTTCAGGATCCACCTCAAAACCCACCTCATACCGTGCTGCCTCGTCAGATTCCGTCTCCAAGATGATCCAACAGACACGCCCCACTTCCACTTCCCCTGCTCAACCACATATATCCAGTCAAACATACCCTCAACCTCACTCCGAAGACAAACGCTCCACATCGAAAAACAGCAGCGGAACCTCTGCATCGAGAGAACGTGAAGGGGAGCGAGACGCCCTGCCCACAACTAAGCCACCCCCTAATTCACGAAACTTGACGCCTGCATCGTCTACACCCTCATCGCCTCGCCACATACCTACTTCCCTTCCGCCAGCGTCAGCACTTCCGCCTTCGGCAATCATGACGCCTGCCACAACTCGTCGTCCATCAGTTCTTATCTCCACCGCGGCACAGGCACAGGGACATGTGCGGCGGCCGTCTGTGTATAACCGCGCGCCTACAGCCCACAGCGAGAGCCCTAGTACACCTAGTGTCAGTGCGAGCGACCGAAGCCTCCGTCACGTAGGTGAAGGCGCCCTGGATGACTCAGATTCGTCAGACGGCAGTGAAAACTGCGCAGTAGTGAGCGCCGATGCCCAGGATAGCCATAGTGAAAACGAAAGAGATGCACCGCCTGATATCCCTCGACAAACCATATTATCGAAGTCGAGGAGTCTTAGCATGGGCCGTACAGGCCCAGCCCATCCCAGCCCACTCTCCAGACTCGCTGGGCAACGTTGGACAGAGGATGAGGATGATGATAGTAAGGAGCATGAGGACGACGAGGCCAGTCCGTCGCCTGGATCGACTGATACTGACGGCGAAGGACATAGCGGCCGTGACTCGGAGTGCAGTACCAGACCACGGAAGGTCAAGGTAAAAGCAGTTTCTGTGGCGAAGATACGCTCCAGAAAGAACTCGAACGCCAAACGACTGAAGAGTCGCACGCGGAGTGCCACCGTCGCTGTTCTTACTGCGTCACTACCATCTCCTGCGCAGCCAGCGTCTGAGAGTTCTCATTTGGTAAAGCAGGCAAGCAACAGCAGCATTCGCACAGTCACAGTCGGATCCGGCCGCGAACAGGAGCAAAACAATGGGCTCATACATCGTGATGAGGATGCCTCGCAAGCGGACGCGGATGATCATCAAGCCTGGCGTGGTATGACTGAATCTCGACGTCGTATTGTAATGGAAGAAGAAGCTCAGCTTCGCGAGGCAGCATGGCACGCATTAAAGGAGGCAGTTGAAGAATTTGCAGAAGCGGTAAGGGATAATTTGAGGTGGTCTCACATAATATCTGATGGAACAAAAATCAGGGTGATGTTCAGATGTGCGCTATGCTGGCGCTCATTGCAGCGAAGGAACTGGGGATCAGTCGAAGGAGAGGCTTGCAATTCTTAGAGGCATATATTGGTAAGCTTTGATGTTTGTTTGCCTGTCACGAACGCTAAACCAATACTCGCAAGAATTACTCACTCGCCTCCGACTGCACACTTGTGCTGCGTACTTGCGTAAATGCAGCAATTTCGAGGATGTTTCAAATACCACCAAGGTAGGTCCTGTTCAGCTGGTGGGCGGGAACGGTGTTGAAGATAAGTTTTAGCTCGAAACCATCATTTACACTGCCTGCGGACGTTGTCGAAAACCTATCCTTCTTTCACGCGCTCGAACGGTGACTGGAGCTCACGCATTATGTACGACATGTAAAAGTGCAGTTGTGAAGTGTTCGATATGGTCAGTCAAAGTACTCTATGTTACTCCGCACGCTGAGAACTCATCACCATCAGCCATCTTCCCGTCCGCACACTACTTTTCCAATGTTCTGTTTGCACGCATGGTGGCCACCAGGAGTGCTATAGGCGATATCACATGGGGCGTCCGATGGTCGATATCCCAACCTCTTTATTGACACGTGGGCGTTCGCTGATCAGAGAACGAAATGGTGATGGTGAGGAGGGAGAGGAGGTTTCTTGCTCTGAGAGCCGGGGGGAGAGGACACTGGCGGGCCATCTATGTGCAGCTGGATGCGGGCATTACTGTTGGGCAACTGTGGGCGGGCAGCTAGGTGCAGAGGAAGCTTCCTGACTAGTCGCTCTAGGGATTGCTTGACTCCACATGGTTGGTTTTTCCGTCGTAAATTTGGATCTTAGTCTGTTGCGACTGCAAATAAAATTTGCCAGGTGGCAAATAAATGGCAAATTTCGAACGCAGCAGACTGTACGCTATCCTGCAATTCGTGATTTGTATTGACGATCAGGCGGGAACAGGGCTGGCAACCGTTTGCAAGCTGAACATCGAGGTTAGGGTTTTCCTCGCGTGAGGTATCAGTTAATTTTGTTGGATCCTTGTTTGTTATCCGTCGGACCTGTGATGGACACTATCTGGTACCTACTGGTAATCAGTTTCTTGAGCAATCTATCCGGTTCGTCACGACCTTTGAAACGCAATTCCCGCAGCATCACCCAGTTAAGAATTTACAATTTTGGATCTGCACTCATGTCATGAGCTCGATACGAGTACAGAGAAATACAATTAATGTTGAAGTAGCTGTGTTCATGTTCTAAGATACATATGTAACTCAAAGACTGCATCTCCGTTGGCAGCATGTAGCAGTGTTCTGCCGGTCAGTGTACGTTTATCAAAGTTAACGTACGTTCAGCTGCGAACTTTCCCATGAATGCAAGTGAACTGAACCCGTGCAGTGCCAGATGTCCTGCTTGGATATTAGATAATCATGTCTGATTGGACGACGAAGCAGGAGTGAATGTTCAAAGTGCCGCAGGTGACACGGTGCGTCGACGATCGCAGAATGGATAGTACTCGACTACTACTACTACTATAACATCTGGTAGCACCACTCATTTTCTGAATCTACTCGTCAAGAACATCATCAACTTGAGGAAAGTCTGGATCATCAATTCCCTCTGCATCTAAGTCAAGAAGCTCGTACAACTCAAGCTCAGCATCTAAACCTCGAATAGCGACTTTATAAAAAGATCCCAACTATTCCTCCGCACGAGAATAGTCGAGTAAGTCATTGATAGCAATGCGGGAGAATGAACCACCGGCACTGGCAGCACCAATGGGGACTGAGTGCATTGATTCTGTGGCGGAAATCTCCTCCTCCTCCTGAACAGCTCGGATAAGGTCTGCTGCAACATCACTTATCCCTCGCCTCTCGAAAGCGAGGCTGCGTGGCTCCCGTTCGCTGCTTTCTCCTGATAAATCATCACCAACTGCATGAACTACTTGAGTAGGCTCTGCTTTGTCAGTGGCCTCGGTGTCACAGTACCGGCGTTGAAGCCGCTTCTTGACCACGTCATTGCGTACATGCTCTTCGTGAACATACATCTCGAGTTCTGCCAGAAGGGTGAGTGTCTCAGTTGAGAGCCGATTGCGCCATTTTGTGAGGATTGCGCCGAACATGCTAAACAGGCGTTCACAAGAAGCGTAATTCGGGCAAATCGAGAGAAGACGTTGGGCAACTCGTCCATTGCCTGCTCACGCGCCACACATTGCTCATAGAGCCTTGCACACACCACCTTTGCCTTTCCGCTGACCATCGAAGCTGGGTCTTTGACAGCATAACCTGGGTGCTCCACGAAGTGATCCCACCACCATCCTCGGTTTGATCTCTTGCCGATCTTCACCATCGAGTTGGCGTGTCGAAAGTCGGGAGTCCATCTTCGAGTTATAAGCCTTAAAGCGTGCCCTTGAACCGAACACATGAAAACCATGCGTTTATGTGAGTAATGATATGTGAAGTGGCACGAGGATAATCAAAGATTCTAGCATTGACCAGATATAGTATAGTTCGTTACAGTAGGACCAGGAAACTCCTGAAAGTCGTGTTCAGATGAACGTCGACGAAGTTCGCCAGCTTTCCCACCCAATCCGGTCAATGACCGTGACCTTGGTTCACTGACCGGCAGAACACTGGCATGTAGGGTGCTTCATCCTTACTTGAGAGCTGAGTAAAAGGCTTTCCGTGTTTCTAAAGGCATGTGTAACAGGTCGCGGTGAGTATTTTTTGTGGTAGAACATTCACTATAACGAGACGGCTAAGTGAAGGGTAGTTGAGGACCGCGGCATGGGTGGCATTACTAAAAGACTCACTGAAGATCCATGCACGTAAGCTGGACTTCGTAGCTTCATCGCTTGTGTCCATCCCATATTTGTACGATTCAAGGGCTTCTCCAAGTCTTCCAGCTTTAAGGAGTGCAAAACATAGCTTCTCGTTGGCAGTTTGCCACAATGACTCAAGCTCCCACCCGAATAGCTGCAAAAGAAGTACATTTGGACATGAAAGGGATGTTTGGTTGCATCATATCGACATACCACGGTGAAAACCTTGCATGCAGAAGGAGTGGCTGATTTAGCCAAGAAAGTGCTAGCCTTGACAGCGGCAGTGAAGTGCTCAACAGCTTCATTGTGGTGCGCGTCATTGAAGGCAATGGTTCCCAGTTGAACTCTCAGACTCGCCTGATATGCGAAGCGCAGATACATTAATGAACACACAAACACGAGTACACGATGCTTACCTCCACGACACGACAAACGAGGGGATCGGCATTTGGATCAGTAGCCAGCTGTTCGACACAAAGCATTGCCTCGCTGTGTTCATTTGCGTTGAACAATGCGATAGCCTGAGACCTATAATGAAGCACGGAGTACGCAGGAAAAATTCAACCTACCTTGATCAAGAAAAGGAAAAGAGTAGCATCTGAATTGCCGACCGTAAACGTGAACGCGAGTTCAAAGGCTGTTCTCGCGTCCTCGACAAGCTGTTTTCCACACAGGGCAATACCTTGGGCGATATAGCCTGCCAACGAGGGATGTATGGTGAGGGACTATGTTACGATCGAAGTTAGGATAATTGTATGAGGGCACGATGAGCTGTCATCACCTTGATTGCATCCTGAAGCGCACAGTCCCAGTCGGATCTGCGCGCCATAACGAAAGAGCGATTAGCATAGGACGCGTAGTTGTTGGCGCCGGCGTCAATATTTTGGGTCAGCACCAATTCAGCAGTAGATAAGACCTCTATCACGCGCGTATTGCGGGCAGTCTTGGTGGTGACATTGGTCTGAACCGTGACGACAGTCTGAATTGCGACGACGGTCTGGCGGACAAATGTTTTGATTCGTGTTGCATAATAGAATCGGGGAAACATGCCTTTGAATCAGAACCTTGATCCTTGGAATCAAAAGACGCGTTTTGAGATGGCGAAGGGGCGGGAATTCAACAAGAAAATACCTTTGGCACCAGATCTTTTGGACCGTCTTCTGAATCAGAGCATAGAGCCTCCGAAAAGACGCGTGATGAGATGGCAAAGGGGCAGGGAATCGTAAAAAAGTACCTTCGGCACCAGATCTTTTGGATTATCATTTGGCAAAGCGTCCTCGGGTATTGCCCACTCTGAAATCTTCTTATCGACACCTCCGCTGAGGATGCGACTGCCATCGATGGAGAAGGTTACGGAAAGCACCAAAGCACAGTGCTGGAAGCTGGCGATGGTTCGCTGATCTGAGAGGCACCAGAGACAAACATGGTTGTCGTAAGATGCAGACGCAACGAGCGTGCCAGCAGAATTGACGACAATAGCCTTGATAACGGTAGCGTGACCTATCCAGGGTTCACCGACCTGTTTCCAAGTCGATATATCCCACTCTCGTATGGTAGGATCTTGATGATCGCCGCCTGTGAGAAGGCGTGTTCCGTCGGGAGTCCATGCCTAGTGAGAAGTTCGTTTTACGGTGACCCTTGAACTTTGCGACACACTGCCTCTTGCCAGATTTATAGATCTCGATTTTCTCCCTTGTCGCAATCCCGAGGAGTGTGCCAGACGGCGAATACCGGATGCAGCGAACTAGACAACTAGACTTCCTTGCACCTGCCATGTCCTCGTGCTCACAAACTTGGTCGTTCCGTCATCTAAACCAGTAGCCAGAACCGCGCCGTCGGGAGAAAAGTCTAAAGATAAGATGGTCGCAGAGTGGACTTTGATGGGCTGGGTGAGTGATTCTTCAATTTCTCCGTCGGAGGCGATGAGCTCTCCTCTCGTATCACCGCTTGCTATCAATTTCCCATCTCGTGATACCGCCAACGCATTCAGCGCGCCACAATGCCCCTCCATTTTCTTCAACACTTCGCCCGACTTCAAGTCCCACAGACAGAGCGTCTTGTCTTTTGATGCAGTGATCATACGCCGCCCATCTGGCAAAGCTGCCACTGCGTTTATGTTGTCTGTATGATCTTCAAACACTCGAACAGCTGTGGTGTTTGGAATAAGCACCATTTTACACGAGGTGGGCTTGGTGTAGGGATCGTGGGTTTTGTGCGCCGAGTCGCAGAGGTGTAGCACAGATGAGTCGGGAAAATATTCCCATCCTCACGATACCATGTAACACAAATTTCAAGGGTTAACTTGACACTCGAGGTATGATAATCTTTTAATAGGCATTTTAAGGCATTCGCAAGGGGCAACTTGTCAGCCGGCGGCATTACCCGACCATGGGAATTTTCTATGTACTAGTTGCTCGATGGCACGTTACCTGTTACTAGTATGATCGCGCGGAAACATTTCAGGCCAATCCGATTTCTTCTCGCCCTGACAGAAGGCACACGACTTACAACTTAAACCTGACACAGTACTAACCGTTAGTAAACTAGCGTAGACCCTACACACGCTGTCACTTCTTGGTATGTAATTAGATGTTCATGATACCTTTCTCGTTGACTAGTATGCTTGAAGCAATTTTCCAAGTATGTATGAACTTATTGGTATAGCAGGCTTCACAAGGGCAGGTTGGTATCATACACGTATCCAGGGCTGACTGTTACAACAACATATCTAGATTAAGGTGTCCTGCATGCATTATGGCGTCGCGATCTGGGGAAAAGAAGACAGCTTCCAATTCGCCTCGTATTCAGGCTGTACCTCAGACGATCCAAATGACTGTCTTACACGAAATCAATGCGCAATCATACCTCACGAAGTGTGGCATCTTGCGGTCCAAAATATCGTATGTACTATTCAGTGCTCGAGGCCATTACTCTTTTTCACATACATCAACGAATTGACCGTTGTGCTAGAATAGGTTGCGCCCGTTTATATCGACCGCCAGCACCCATTCTCATTCTGCATGTTACCCGATTGAGCACACACTCCTTTCCCCATTTCCCTGACTCTCAAGTGTGATTTCACACCAAGTTCATTTATGGAAACATCACTCCTGCGGCACCTCGCGCTTTTCGTTCAACGAACGACAATAGCTGACTCGGGGACGACTGGATGCTTACAACGTGTGTTTGTTTATGCTTGCATTTGTTGAACTGTTCTTAATCCTGTCTGGTGCAGTGCTGCCTTATATCTTATCTACTCTCGTACCGTTGATCTACGACCTGTCCACGATTTGTTCCGTTCTGCGCTGATCAAGTGATTCCCTCCCTTTGGAGCAGTTTCCATGGAGGCGATATATCAGGCCCGAGGTGACCTCGTAGTTCTTTGCGGGCACAGCATCACGGATACATTTTGGCATATACATTACGCATTTCATGACCCTACTCCCGCGGTTTCCGCTCTCTCGTTTCAGTGGGCTGTGTCTTGTTCTTGGCTGCAGTGAAACATTGTTAGTACGTATGTCAATTGTCAAACGTTTGGAAGATGATTGAACGATCTACGGGCAGTGTTAGGTCTTCTCTGAGACGGCTCTTACCAGACTTGTGTCATTCTTCCCCAAAAAGCATGATGCTATAGTCTCAATCAACAGTGAAGAACGTGTGCGCAGTACTTGCAGGCTGCAGCCTATGTTTTGCAGCCAATCTGAATCGCGATAGAGCGGGCTCCCGGCCCTGTTATAGCCACATAGCAACGTAGCTCCATAGCCCGTGTCACATGCTACTACGTGACATCAGACGTTCAAAATACTGTCAGTAACGTTCACCACTCCGGAGCACCCGGCTTTTTTTGTAGATCTTCCAAGATATCGGAAGATATCGGCCAGTGATATAGACGTTATGAGCTTAATAAGTCACCTCGGATATCAGTATTTTGATCTATCTATAACACATAGCAGTATGCGAGGATTGCCAGATTATCATGATCAGTGACAATTACTCCGCAGATCAAGCTGCAGATCAATCATGCATGCATGCTTCTCGGTCGTCAGCATAGCTTCATATTTGAATTTCTAACGCATGTGTCATATGCGATTTGTTGCACACTGATTCGGTAATTTTCTGCGCGGCAGTCTTGGCAGCACATGGTGACACTTTATTATTATTAATAATATTAATGTAGCTCCCAATGTGACCGTAATTCTCCGATTCATAATTTACGTTCTACTGCTTGCAAGGCAGGCAGCGCTTGGTTGAAGCTGAAAACTTCATCGGAAATGAGGCGGGGAATTATAACTGTGATTACAGACGCGTGGCACTATACTGCCACCAGCGTATATCACTCACGTTTGCGCTTCGCGACAGCTTAGTTGATCCTGGGCCTGAGCCAGCGCCACACTTAATAAAAGCCCAGCCGAGTAGGCACAAATATTGCATCATTGATCCCTTTCCTATCTGTGTACTAGGATGTCTGGTCAAGCAGGAAGCAATGATACTCGCCAGAGAGCTGCCCTCGAGGAGTATGAGCAATCTGGTGAGGGCAGGCCCCCTTTCATTCTAACATATGCCGAGGTGAAACTACTGGGTATCGCTGGGGTGAGTGCCATCAGTGTCGTGTCTGCGTCTACGTAAACTTATCTGTCGTCCAGGTTGGCTTTTTCTTGGATGGTAGGTACTTGATCCTTCTCGAATGCAAACTCTCATATCTTTATGGAACAGCTTATGACTTGTTCATCATCAATGTAAGTTGCGTTATTTCATATGGTGGCGTATGGGACTAAATCAATCTGCACAGCCCGTATCTACTATGTTGCAATACAGGCTTTACCCGGGCGGGACCATGCCCGCCAATCTGCAAGGATTATTGAAAGCTTCTGCCAACATCGGAAGTGTGATCGGCCAGTTTCTGTTTGGTGAGCTGCGTAATACATCATGCTTTATCACGCTCCATACTAATTCCATAATGATATAGGATACTGTGCTGATGCTTTCGGGAGAAAGGCTATCTGTCAGTTCTTTACATTTTTCTTGCTGGCACCCGTATTCATGTGCGTTGACAGATGGAAAAGAGCTTATGCTCATCATCATTGCAACTATCCTCTGCATTTCTACACCCACAGGTATGTCTTTGATTCTCCATTCGCATTTGCTAGCGCTAAGCTATTACTAAGGCTCGCTCTCCCCCAACGGATGCCTTATTTACTTGACGATATTTCGTATCTTACTTGGCGTGGGTGTCGGTGGCGATTACCCCATGTCGGCCTCCGTGACAAGCGACCGTGCCACAATCCGTAAGCGTGGAACCATGCTCGCATACATCTTCGCGAATCAAGGATGGGGTAGCTTCGTGGGGTCGCTGGTGACTATTATCGTTCTGGCATGCTACAAGCATGTCATGAATGATGAAAATGAGACATCCAAGGTCGACGGAGGTGCGTGTCATGTACTAGTTGCATGATGTTGCTGATCGACAGTTAACTCCAGTGTGGAGGATCGTCATTGGATTGTCGCTCATTCCGGCCTTCGGCACACTCTACCAGCGTTTGACCCTCCCAGAGTCCACGCGTTACAAGAAGTCGCAGGAGGCAGACGTGGTTGAACAGTATGATTTGGAGAAGGACAAGATGGGGGTCAAAGCTAGTGTTCATACTGAATCCGACTTGAACGTAGATAGGGGAGCTCCCGTACCAAAGAAGACTCACGTCCTAGGTATGGTTCCTTCTCGAATCTCTTCCTTGGTCTCATAGATATTTTAGAGGTCATCAAGTACTTCTCCGAATGGAGACACCTGAAGATACTCATCGGAACTTGTTCATGCTGGTTTCTACTAGACGTCGCGTACGCCGGGTCCCGATCATCGAATATGTTTCGTTCTAACATGATGGTGCTAGTTTCTATGGGATCAATCTGAACACAAACGTGGTGCTTTCTGAAATAGGTTACGCCGGCAAAACAGGCACGCCCTGGGAGAAGCTCTTCAAGGTCGCTACGGGAAACATCATCATCACCGCACTAGGATTTGTGCCAGGTACATGTATAGTTCCATCTCCCTTGACATGATCACTCACTTCGAAAAGGCTACTACGTGACTGTGCTCACCATCGAGAAGCTCGGCCGCAAGACCATCCAGGTAATGGGATTCCTGATGGAAGCTCTCTTCTGTGGGTCGTTACAAATACTCTAGAGGAATCTCTGCTGATGGCGTGCTGCAGTGGGCATCTTGGCTGGGAAATTCTATAGCTTGAGCACTGCAGCGTTCATAATAAATTTTACGTTGCTCCAGGTGCGTGACAGGGGTTTGATGGAAGATCTTGACTAAATCGAATTTTATTCAGTTCTTTTTCAACTTTGGAGCCAATGCGTGAGTTCTTTGCTCAACTAGAACATACTCCATTCTGACTTGACCATTGCGTAGCACCACCTATGTGCGTTGTCATGCACGTTTGCACGTCAGATACAGCTGACGGAACTCACAGTGTTATCCTGCCGAGGTGTTCCCCACCCGATACCGAGCGTTTGCACACGGCATGTCCGCGGCTTGCGGGAAAACAGGAGCAATCATATCCGCTCTCGTGTTCAACTCCCTCACAGACAATATCGGTACACCTGCTGTGCTTTGGAGTACGTCGTTAATTGACCAATGTGTGCTAGCAACTCAATTTTTTCCCCACAGTTTTCTTCGGCTGTTCAATTCTTGGTGCCGGTACTGAGACCATAGTTTTATTCTGCGACAGTGACTGACAAGTTCATTTGCAGCTTGTACTTTCCTTTTGCCCGAGGTCGCTGGTCGTGACCCAGATGCGATCCTCGAAGAGGAGCTGAGGGAGCAGCAGTAATCTCTGATATTGTCAACACCATGTACTTCACATTTATTGTCCTGGTTTGTTCTTTTAAGAGTCGTCGCTCACGCTATCCAATATTTAAGGGTAGCACTTCTCTCCTTATCTATCGAGTACTACAATAAATCAGACAAACGTCGGCGATGTTTGCCTGCTTCCTCGTCTACTAGCTATTTGCGAAAAAAGTTACAACAGCCAGTATCTAATACAGTCGGTACATACAGTATTGTAGCGCAACAGAGCTGCTAGTAGAACTTCATGAAAATATGTCCATCAGGGTTTCTCGACTATCTGAAACATGTCGCATATGTCTGACCCACCGAACAGCGAATCGTATCCTCAGGCTTTTGATTCGACGGACACGCCCGGGACGGTCACACACGCTGACTAAGCCACTTCCACTCAATTTTGTCAACAGCAATAAACACATATCGTTCCGAACTCGAAGGACTTGGTTCAGAGTAGTCACCGCCGACGACAGCGACAGGCTCAAATATGCTCAAAGCCTCAAAATCGGTCGCTAGAATCCAGCGGCAAGCCAATATTTCAATCAGGCGTGGTCTTGCAACTGTTGCTGACCCGCCTGTTCGCCGATACGGCGGTCTCAAAGACCAGGACCGCATCTTCACAAATGCATATTGTAGACATGACCATGGTATCAAGGGCGCCTTAGTGAGTCTAATATCCTTATGCAACTGTTTCGTGTTCATTTTGTCTGGCTGTTTCTGATAGTCTCGTGGTGACTGGCATCGCACGAAAGACATCCTTTTGAAGGGTGACTCTTGGATCATTCAAACAATCAAGGATTCAGGGCTCAGAGGCCGGGGTGGTGCCGGATTCCCAAGTGGTCTCAAATGGTCATTCATGAACAAGCCGGACTGGCAAAAGGATAAACGGTATTTGTGTTCTTGAATTGTAACATTTCGTCCGGTTCGGTACTCACTTGTCGTTTTTGCGCAGGCCCCGCTACCTAGTTGTCAACGCTGACGAGGGAGAACCGGGAACCTGTAAGGACCGCGAGATTCTTCGTGGTGACCCACACAAACTGGTGGAAGGGTGTCTGGTTGCTGGCCGCGCCATGAACGCAACCGCAGCCTACATATACATTCGCGGAGAATTTTTCCAGGAGGCCTCTCACCTTCAGCAAGCTATCGATGAGGCGTACAAAGGTGGATTCATCGGCAAAGATGCATGCGGTTCCGGTTACTCGTTTGATGTATACCTCCATCGCGGAGCTGGTGCATACATCTGCGGCGAGGAAACTGCGTTGATTGAAAGTCTCGAGGGCAAACAAGGCAAGCCCCGACTAAAACCACCTTTCCCCGCAGATGTCGGCTTGTTCGGATGCCCCACCACTGTTGCTAATGTCGAGACTGTTGCGGTGGCACCTACTATCTGCCGTCGTGGTGGATCTTGGTTCGCCAGCTTTGGTCGTGAGCGCAACCAGGGCACAAAACTCTTCTGCATTAGTGGTCACGTTAACAACCCTTGTGTTGTCGAAGAGGAGATGAGCATCCCGCTGAAAGACCTTATCGAGCGGCATTGCGGAGGTGTCAGAGGTGGCTGGGATAACCTACTTGGTATCATTCCTGGTGGAAGCTCGGTCCCAGTCCTGCCCATCGACAAGTGCTCAGAAGTTCTGATGGACTATGACTCTTTGAAGGACGCACAGTCGGGTCTTGGGACGGGTGCCGTCATCGTAATGGACAAGAGTACGGACATCGTATCTGCCATTGCACGGTTCTCTTCAGTATGGGCTCTGTTTTTCTCATGCTTCTATTATGCTTAACTTTCCACCAGTTCTACAAACACGAGTCTTGTGGACAATGTACGCCCTGCCGGGAGGGCACGACGTGGATGATGAACATGATGAATCGCATGGTGGAGGGCCGCGCTCATAGACGTGAGATTGATATGCTCCTTGAGCTCACGTAAGTTATCGCTGTACAGCTTTTCTTAACTCACTGTTCTCTGCAGTAAACAAGTAGAGGGCCGGACCATCTGTGCTCTTGGCGATGCTGCCGCTTGGCCCATTCAGGGCCTCATGCGCCATTTCCGCCCAGAAGTGGAGGCCCGTATCGATGCTTTCCGTGCTTCTCAAGGCGGTGTGATGTTTGGTGGCCGTATGATACACGACGCGGATCCAACACTTGCAATACCTGATAACCTGGGTGCCAACTTAGTCGAGCCCGGTGATAGAGTATGACCTGCGCCTGTTACTTAGCCTCACTTTGCCATGCAATGTACGGGATCACACTTAACAGTCACCAGGGATGGACCACAAGCGACCACGATGTCATGCGCAGGGTTGAAACTTAACTTGCTGACATGTGAATAACAGCTGCTAAAAGTACGTAATTAAGTACTACTGTCATGGGCAGGATGATCGGTTCTGCCAGAGCCGTTCAAGCGCACAAGTCTGGGCGCTAAGATGCGTTCTCCCTTTGCGACATTGACAGAGATTGACAGTCGGCCTTCGGGAAATGGACAAAGCTGTTGATTATGTGTTGGTTATGACAACAGCGCTCAGCATTCGTCACTGGGCCTACAATGTTCCAAATGAGCACATTTTTAAGTTCATGTTCATGTATGCATGTTGTGCACTTTGAATCAGGGGCTCGGTGGCTATTGGGTATGCCATGATAATAGGTATGCGGACGCACATTTTTGTTTCCCTATGCACCGCTGCCTGCGCAACTCTGGGCAGATCTGGACCAGCCTGGACCAACCTGGCCAGAGCTATGGAACTTTCAACTTTCAATGGCCCAGACTAACTCACGGTGGTCAGGCACTGAAACATTGCGAAGACCTCAATTATGGCGACGTGCACTATTGTTTCCACCCAGGTGCATTCTACCTGTCAAGGGGCTGGGAAATTCAGTCAATCATCAAATGATGGATCGCTCTTGTAGTGAGGTCGGTAATGATTCACTTTTAGTACGGATTCGAGTGTCTGATACATCGTTAGCATAAGAAAACATCTATGACACTGCAAATAAATTTCTCCTTATAGTATAGATTGTAAGTGGAATTTTTAAAACTTGATTCCAGATGTCAAATGTCGGCTGATAAGGCATGTTTGCCGAGGTGGATACATTTGTGAGTAGGTCCGAATTGTTTCGGTTGGTTTGTATAGCCGCCTGAGCGAAGTAATTTTTACAGAAATGTACAAGACAACCCGATCCCCTAAAATCTCACTACCTGAGGGAAAAAAACAAAGCGAAATGCTTGATGATACCCAGCCCAGCCCTAAGAAATCCAAGTATGGGGTATGCATGAAGTAAAGGATGTAAATGGGGGTATGGCGTACGTCTGGACAACAGTGCAGGATTGAAAAGCGAGGATAACAGAGCGACAGTGATGCGTATTGGTGAACGATGCTACGATGTATAGGAACGATGAATATAAGAGGATATGCAGGTAACGAAGAATCCGAGGCGTGAAAACACCTTGGTGTTTCGCAATAATTTGCGACAGCGATTTTGTGATTGATCATAACCATGCCATAACGATAGCAAGGAAGATCAAGAGACTGAAGTACTCCCCGATTTACAATGACCGCTATAACTCGTGCCCCTGGAGAGCTTTGGGATGCCTACGAGCGGCCTGACAACTGTAGGAGTTGCTGGAGGTGGTGCATAGGAGGTGTTGAACCTCCGCAGCTGTGGCGGCGGCGGCGGCGCGGACGCTCGCCATTTCTCTTCCCATGCACGAAGACCAGCAACAAAACCAGGGTTGGGATTAATGCAGGGTCTGCAACGTTTGACCAGAGCGTATGCCTGCTCATATGACATCCCGAGATCGTGGATGAGATAAGCAATGACTATGGCTGGAGAGCGCGAGACACCCTGTTGCACGAGAACCACCGATCAGGCTTGACGCTAAATAAATTTCGAGGGAGGCATACCTGCTGGCAATGCACCAGAACGTTCCCACCACTTCGCAGTGCGTTAGCAATATACTGGCATGCCCCTTCCAGGTGCGGACGAAGGTCAGCGGATGGCTTATCAAGAATGTCTATGCGGAGGCACCGGAAGCCGTCCTTTTCTGATATCGGAAGCCAGGGGACATCGAGTACTTGTACGATATGAGTGATATGGTTTTTAGCGAGCAACTCGCGATCCATCGTTGCAGACATGGAGCCGAGATACAAGAACCCGGGTTGGGAACTGGAGGCATGAGCCACGGATTGTATGGACTGGGATTGAAATGTAAAAGGAAGAATCTGGTGCATGGGTGTACAGATTGCCTCCATGATGTCTGGAGACATGCCCTCAAAGCGGATCATAATTTTGGCAGTACGAAGGGGGGAGATCAGTAAGAAAGTGATGGAGTCGATATCGGAGAGAAAATGATGATCAGAGTTCGAATGAAGATCTATATTACTGGCTGAACTCGGGTGGGATGTACATATAGCAGACGATTGTCAGTGGAGCGATATTAGGAGGATGGTGGAGTAGCATTAATACTAGTATTTAAAGGCTGCTCCTTCAGATAATCGATGCGATTTCCTATTTTGGAGTCAGAATTGTCTTTCTAATCTTGCCTCCGAAGTCAGTAGTCCACAGTCTGGACCAACAAACTCTGATTGATCCTCGTGATCACATCAAGTTTTTCTCCAAAAGGTACGCTCAGCGTACCTGGACCTTGATCACATCGAATCGAGGCCACCTCGAAACTTTAATTCGGCAGGCAATTCGATCATCGGTCTATTACATCTCTACCATGATAAAACCGTCTATCAGCGTCTAGATCCTCTCACTCCGATGTCGTAACTTCTTAGAGAAGCACGCCCGCGAATTTCAGTGATCCCCCCTCCCAGTATCATCTTTTTGCTTGTCTTTGATCACTTGGAGCCTACAGCTGATGTGCCGCGGAGTGGGCAACAGGAAGTTCAACGACAACATCTCTCCGCGAAAAGCATCGAGGCTGAACAACTAGGTACACACGATCCTCGAGGCTGGATACTCTCACTAAGGTTCGCGCTTACCGGCTTCTCGGCAAACACCTTACCACGAGTTTGATATCTGACCGGAACTCCATTCAGTATATTAATATGGCTCGGGAGCTGGGGCGCGATAGCTCCTGAAATGCTTCAAAGCCCTGTGAGGTTGCGACATCAGGATCAGCACGAGGCTGCAGTTCCAGCACTGTATGGTGATTGCCATGCTTATACCTCGCCTATCAGAGACCTACAGCACTTGAAGCCGATCTGATAGCGCGGGTGCATGTCCATTGGTTCCAGAACCACATTCAATTGCAATCACGTCGTGTATTTTGTCGAGCCGGTTGCCGGAGTTGTATTGAACGAGATCTGCCGCTACCATGCTCCTACGAAAATGACCTCTCGTTTGCATGGTACCAAATGACAGGGATCCACTTTCAAGTTCCTGTTGGTTCTTACACACCACGACTGCCAAGGCCAATTCCACTCCATCAACGCTTTGCATATAGCTCCACCTCGGATGGTTCTTACCTGCAAATGCTTCCCGAAGGTATAGGCATTTCATTCTAGCGCGTTGGCGGCGTGTAGACGGTTAAGATCTCTTGATTGAGATCTATTTCAATTCTGAAATCTCAGGCATAAGAACGAATGATCCGGCGGGTGCTTATCTCACTTGTTCGTGTGCGCATCAACACATATTTTCGTTCCGGCAGGAGCTTCCCAGCTTATCCACCCGTACTGTCCAGACAGCATACAAACGGTCCACCTCAGCAGATCTGTTATCGGTTCCTTCACGCGATGAAGCCTGCACGCTTGCACAGCTCGGCTTGCATACTATACTTGTATGTTAGTGTAATACCCACACCTCACTTGGTACGATTAGAATGCAGGGAAACGGTGCGGGAAATATGGAAAATAGCATTGGACAACTAACCTAATATCAACCTTGTTGTTATATAGCACGATCAGAAGTCGGCCCCTCGATGTCACCGTCACCGCCGGCAGTCCCAGACAAGCACAGGCAGCCCGCAAGAGGTGCATTCGGATTGTACGATGACACTGAAGTTCTGGGCATGATCTAAAAACAAGACATCAATTGGAATGATACGCACTATTTGATGAGCGTGCCTCTTCAAGTCAAGCATGCGAATGCATGAACATGACAAAATTAAGTTTCATGTGCAAGGCGAACCTCGTACAATTTCACCTGTACATCGAGGATGTGCTTTTGCAGTTCTGCGCCACACTATCAATCCCAGTGGGCGCATTGCAGAACTGGGCCTCCTTGACGTCGTCTAGAGAGCAAAGACCTCATCAAGGGAAAGCCCGACGTATGATTCACAATACCTTCAAGGTTCACCTTGGCGCTTTCGCACTCCTGGAACATCGGAGACAAAGGACCGTTGTAAACATGCGACTCAAACTCGAAGCGGAATAAGAAGCAGAAGCGTGGATATAGAACCTACTACCAAAGGTCCATGCAATCCTACTTGATTTCATTCAAAACTGAAAAGCAAAGAGACATCAATGCAGAGTCAAATACTGACAAGGCCGCACACGTGTCCGGTCACGCAAAAATAGAGCGAGAGAAAGGACAGATCATGAAGATTGCTAATAACAACTAGTCGTGAAGGGTATGGACTCTTGACAGGGGCAAGGGTGTAGTCAGAGAAGCGGCGGGGTGCGGCGAGGTGGAAAGTAAGACAAGATAGTCTACACAACCACGCAGTGGTGTTTCTTGCTATTCTTGGGCCGGCTAAGAAGTGCAGCCCTTGTAGCATATTGGAAGACTTCGCGAACGCCCTCGCCCGTTCTGGCCGAGCACTCGAGATAGTGCCTCGCGCCAATCTTGTTCGCTACGGCCATACCCTGAAAAGGTCGACACATCATCCAAAGAAACCTGTGAGAAAGGAAACAAAAACGTACCTCCTCAGGAGTTACAGGTCTCTGGCTCGTCTTCTTGAGCTCGTCAATCACTCGTCGGTCACGTCTGAGGTCGTTCTTGCAGCCAACAAGAATGATGGGAAGACCGGCGCAGAAATGCATCACCTCAGAAATCCACTGGTTTCGGGAGATGCCGTCAGGACCGAATGAGGCATTGCTCATTGGCCAGACGTACCTTTTCTTGCACATTGTCCAGAGAATCTGGTGAGTCAACAGCAAAGCAGATAAGAATGACATGGGTGTCTGGGTAACTGAGAGGTCGGAGACGGTCATAATCTTCTTGCCCTGCCGTATCCCATAGCGCAAGCTCGACGTGCTTTCCATCAACCTCCACATCTGCTACATAGTTCTCGAAGACGGTCGGAACATAGACCTATGAGCGCACAAATCAAGCAAATAATTAGACAAACACGCGGCTGACGATACTGATGGAAAATACCTCAGGGAATGTTCCTTTAGAGAAAACTATCAACAAACACGTCTGTTAATGATATGAGCTCGTTCCTTGTGTTGTTTCGCGTGCACATTAAGGGGCGTACCTTTCCACAAGCACCATCACCAACGATAACAAGCTTCCTCCTGATTTCAGCCATTATTCGAACGTAGAAAGTAGGATTGCGTGGATGTACGGGCGCTCCTTGGGGATGATGGTGTTCAGCGAGACAAGAGTCGCACGATGATACAAGTCGGTCTTTTAATCGCTCTTTCAATGGCCACACAATGGGCTGTGCCACAGGTGTAGGCCTGTGCGTGAGACCTAACTTCCTTTCTAGTAAGCCCTTCCTCGTCGCAAGCCACAGCATTACAGCCACGGGTACTCAAAGTATCTGTCATGCCGTAGTGACGCAGTCCAGCCAAGCCTCGGCTGTAAGTATAAAACAATTTGGACACCATATGTCATACATCGAACCTATGACGCCAACGAACAGCACCCGCAACTCACGTATTCGCCTTCGGGTCCGTAACTTCCCATCTTGCATATCTGTATCTCATCAACACTCCAAGTACCAAACTCCACTTTTACGGGGTCCCGAAAATTATGTGATTCTAGCGGTGTACGAACAAACTCGCGAATAAACGGCGACATCAGAATTGCATTATAGGAGAACGGCTGTCGATGTGGTTTGCGATATGAAGTGTTGAGAATTGTGCAATGCAGCTAATTCCGCGTTGGCCACTAAGTCACATTAATCTGGAAATAAGAGATACGAACCTTGAGAGGACGACGATCCTGAATAAATCCGGCGTCACTAAATGCCTTGTTCACAAATTCTGCTACAGTATTGATATGCGAATATAATTAGCATGGGACGAGCATCGGCGCACCGCTGACAGATTTGAGGCGTTGCGCGTCTTCTGTGTCCAATGAAGGGCCCATCCAGAGTACATGCGCATGGTCTGCATTACCGCGATCGGGGTTCATGATGTTCATCTCTGTAAGAGGGATGGAGAGACTATGTCCGTTCAATAATTCCATGACGCGAGTTCTCAATGTGGACAACAGTGCTTGTGCATCTTCTAGAGTTCGTCCCGGTAAATTTTCAAGAGTCATAACTCCTAACGTCAGATGAAGGCGACGAGGTGCGATAACAATACCGCGATCAACGCCAGGGAGCGCAGGCTTACAATTAAGCAAGCCATCCGTGAACGACTTTACTGATTCCTGCAATTGCACGTGGTGTCCCTAATTCTACGTTGGCGTGAATTTTTTATTATCGAAAGATCGGTACTTACGATGGGCAGGGATATGACTTTGGAGATCACGCACTGAGCACGTATACTGCATTCAAAAAGTTGAAACCCACGGACAATGTGTAGGTCGTGATTTAGAATTACGGTTTGTTCCAGAGGAAAATTGACCACGGCGAGAAGTCGAAGCGCTTGCCCTAGCAGTGTATCTTGTAGCCATGCTTTATAGCAGGTCGACCCAGGTGAAGAAACCTAACCCTGATGATTGAGGATAGTCAAGACTCAGAACGGGAAATTCCGAATTGTCTCAAGTATATTCTGTCCGGCCTGTCCGTCCCGTCCGTCCGCTTTGTATGTCCGCTTTGTCTCGTCCTCTGTCCCCATCGACCAACAGACCATAATCACGTTGAAATGTGCTACCAATGCTAGCGCTCAGAGCTCACAGGTTGGCACAAATCCGTTCCGGGATTTTGGAGGGCTTCCAAATCACCAAATTAGGGTTCGACAGATCTAACGAATGGTCGACGGACGGGAGTCGGGACGGTCATTTCTAATTTTTCGGTATATAGACAATTCACGACTCAAGAAATCAATTATCAATTTGTCAAGCTGGTGAGCAACTTTATCGCTATCGAAAAGCCTTTAGCTATAGAATCAAACTAACAAGTACGTAGCTTCAGGATGTACTTGCCCCCCTAACGGTCTGTTGACGTGGCAAGCTCTTGATCAACGGGGCTACTACCACAGCGATAAGAACTGTACTCAGTTGAAGTCTTATCGATGAGACTTTGACTGAACACAGTGTCATGATTATCATGTGTGCGTATGTCACAAACCGATCCTTTTTTAACTCATAGCCCAGCCCCTGCTCTCAACGTGTTGAAGATCTATCATCAACTCTTCTCCGAGTCGTTCCTGTGGTACCGCCATGAGTCAGTCGTTTTTTGTGCAAATTTCTAATATAGAATCGTGGAAAGCGGGACATATATGGTACCCATCGAATGTAAGCGCACCTTGTAATCTCCGACTGCTCTATTTTAAACAGGACACTTTGACAACGTTGCGATGTCCTTATCGACTTTGCGGATTGGTGGGGAGCTGTTTGTATAACAATTGTATCCTCATCTGATATAGTGGTGCGTGTGGCTTCCTGAACCAATAGCTGGTAAGTTACCATCCCTGACTTCGCTTCGAGGTGTGGAGCAGCTTTAGTTGCAAATTACCAGAAACCGACTTCTCAGCTAGGCGACAATTTTGATATGATGGCATGCTGTAAACGCATTGCTGTGTTCATAAACTTACCGCACCAAGCCAACGGCAGACATTGCAGTCTACTCAATAAAAGGGTTGCACTGTCCTCCGTAATCAATCAGCAAGTAGCGCATGGTGACATCTGCAGCATTTTTAGCGCTCCGTAAGTTTAAACATGTGCGGGGATCAATCATCATGCATCATGATTGAACTCTATGTATTTGTCTGCTCCATTCGGGCAACTCTCGACAAATGCCGTTCAGGTACAGCTTTAAGTCTGGATCCGCCTTAACTTTATGTCGAAATAGGACATATCGCGATAACGATGGAAGCATGTGGAGCACAGCGTGCACTTCTAATGCTGCGTTGGGTAGCGGCTACACCAGCATCTGTACTTGCCAGTGGTATAAGAAATCTATTCAAGCTGCTACAGCGATTATTAGTATACATTTAAACGAATTCAAAGGATACAAGGTTGAAGATGATGCGGAGTGAAGACAGGCTGACAGCGGCTGCTACTATAGTACTCTGTTTTTGACATTGAGAGTCGCCGATCGTTGACTCCTTCGCGGCTTAATTCCTGCTCTAGACATCATGCACCATGCATCATGCTTTACTTCAGCTGTCACTCCCAGTCACCCGTCGTCTTCTTCAACGTTCCACATCGCTACACGAAGGCTACGGCCGGGTTTGATAGCAAGTTTCTCGTCGTGGGTCGTCCACAGATTGTTCGATTCCTCACGGGAAGTAGGGAAAGCGCGTGAAGGTCTTCCGTTCGTACCAGTTCAATCCTCCGGTAGTACCTAACAGAGTCGGAGCCGTGGTGAGTGTGGATGAAGACGTCATGCTCGCGTTTCCGCCTGTTTAGAATGTGAAGTGTGCGAATAAAGTGCCTAAAAGAGATCATGCAGGGTCGTTGCAAACTGCAACGCTGCCGAGCCCGAACGCGTCGGGCGGGAATGGGATGGTGAGCGCGCCCGAGGATACCCTCTCGACACTGTCTTAACACAATCCCAATCTTGGCAAGTTTGGTTTTGCTTGCGGTATGTTCGACCTGAGTTTTGGGCGTCTTTTCTGACATATTACCTATTGACGGAACTTTTTATGTACAGGTGTCAGCGTCCTGAAATCTGGCATCATCGCCTCGTTCTTTACCTCGTTCTGTTATCCCCACTAGCTATTCCCCGGTCTCATCCATTCCCTTTCGTACTGTCTTAATCCTACCTTTCAGTTAAGGACGACTATCAAGCGCATCTACTGGTACTACCAAGCTTGCATGTCCTCATTGGCTTTAGCCTTTCATCTAGACGTTCAAAATCTCATCCAGACCCTCCTTTTTCCCCACCCTCTTTGCAAGTCCACTATGTTTTGCAGTTCTGGCTCCCCATAACCCCTGACCTTTCAGACCGCTGTCTCTCTTAGTGAACGATGACCTTACTCAAAAGCGCCCGTATATCATCTAAGGCTGAAGGCAAGCAACGTGCTCGAGACGAGGGTACAGGTGGTGCTGGTGGTGTGGTGTTAGAACTTGAGATGGTGACCACCAGCTACGATTCAGTGTGAGTATTCGAATTATCTATACGAACTTTGAATTGTTCTATCCGTCCCGGAGACCCTGCCTTTCCAGCGGTTAAAATTTTTACCTTCTGATTTCGTTTTTCTCCAAACTCACCGCTTAAATTTAGTGCCTATACCGTGCCCGTGTCAGTAGGCGCAGCTCAGCAAAACCTTTCCCTTCAGATTGACACAGGCTCATCGGATCTTGTGAGTCGTGCCTTCCTTGGCTACATAGCCTTTTTAATTCCAAAAATGAAGTGGATTGCATCAAAATCGTGCTCCACTGCATCATGTTCATCTACAGATGGTCGCCTCTACGATCCGACCTCCTCAACGCCAAGTGGCGCTAGTTTTACCATCGCTTATCTCTCCGGAACCGTTAGCGGGCCCGTAGTATGGGATACAGTCCAGCTTGGAACATACAGTGTGGAGAGTCAGGCGCTGGGTTTGTTTTCTGTAACTTTCTGTTACATTATCCTGATCAACCTTTACAGCTGCTGCTAATACGGTATCCAACGAGCCCCTCAGCTTAGATTTTGACGGTATCCTTGGTCTCGCTCTTCCTCTTGATTCGATCATCGAGCAAACAATTCCCCCGACTACGGACAACAACCCAGATGGCGCATCGTTTTCTTCAAATCTGTTTTCCATGACACCCGCCTCCACAGCTCCCTCACAACCGTTCTTCTCCCTCACTTTTGCCCGTCCTGGTTCGAATGCAATTCCATCACTTCTTGGAATTGGTATGCATCCTTCGTCTGTGGTTCCAGATCCTTCGAAAATCCAGTATTCGACGCTTGTGAGCCAGGGCGTTGGCATATTATTCTGGAAAACGAATGTTCGAGCCATTACGGTTTACGTAAATGGTCAGGCACGTCCTGTAGTACTTACCGAGTCTGTTACCGGTGCTGCCTTCCCCACTGCACTGCTCGACTCTGGGGTGCCATTTATCGTCACGACATCGTCTATCGCAAACGGAATATATGGCGCACTGGGCATAAGCCCAGCCTCGGATGGCAATTGTTTGTATCTTATTCACCTCAGTTCGTAATTGCCAAGCTGACTGTCTGTTAGACTATGTCCCTTGTACGACACCACTCAACATGACCATTACTCTCAACGGCCAACCCGAGCTACCCATCCACCCACTCGACCTCACCAGCGAGCCGTCTGGGCAGCACAACTCACAGTACTGCATCGGCCTTATACAGGCTGATGACTCACAACTTACTGCTAATTCTGACATCGGGGACATGGTCCTCGGCGTTCCTTTCATGCGCAACGTCTACACCGTGCTTGCGTACGAACCCCCACCCTTTAACATATCTATTTACGCTGGAATCCGACCAACACTCGGACTTATGGGACTCACGAACATAACTCAAGCGCTTGATGAGTTTAACAACGTGCGCGTCCTCAATCAGCCACTTGGCGGCGCACCACCATCACAGGCCACTTTTTCAAGCGAACCAAAGATGTCAGTAGGCCTCGAAGTTCTTATTGGCCTGATTGGCTTCTTCGCACTATGCGTCACACTTTTCGGGTTGAAATGGTTCATGACGCGGCGGCAGTGGAAGAAACAGGGGATGGTTGACACAGATGGAGGGAAGAAAGGCGAAGGCGAGTACCAACTTACGAGGCGCAATTCGCAGTCCAGCGATGATGCTGCTGTTAGTACTCTCAGGACGCTTGCATACACTACGAGGAAACAGAAAGTGTCCCAGTATACTTTCGACTCAAACAGGACCCGTGTTGAGATGGATCCAGTCGACGAGTTTGGAGAATGGAACGTCAAATACGATCACTCGCCTCCGTCGATATTCGACCTGAGCGATCCTTGGGATCCTTATGCTGCCAATCGAGATACGATTGTAGGCACTGATGCGCCCTTACCCGATACTCCCACTTCCCTCGATTTTTTGACCACGAACCATCGACGGACGTCGGATGAAATCACTGACGTGCCGGAAAGCACATCTGTTCCCTTGCTCACAAACCGGCATCGTCGAAGAAGCGGCTCGCAGAGCAGTGATAGCGACGTTGCGGAGGCTGGTGTAGGTATGGCAGGCGTTGGCACCGTTGCACGCGGGAGCCAAATTATCACTGGTTTACACCATAACCTATCTCGGAGCGACAGCGTTGACAGGAACTCGTCATCCTTGAGTCCGAGTACTGAAGTCGTCACTCCGTCATGGCGATTTTCGACATCACACGAGCATCCTGATACTGTTGATGTCGACATTCGTTGACGGATATGGATGTGGACTTTATTGCTGCTTTCTATCTCATCTCATTTCATCTCACGCACATCTCTACCGACGCTCTTTGATATTTGGATATATGTGGTATACTGATGCATAGTTGTTCATCTGGACTTTTTTATATGGGCTCAATACCTGGACTATCCTGCGTTTTCGTATAAGTATGATACAATCAAGCCAATCGGTGCATATCCACCGGATACATGTACATCATTTGTATTTGGAGCGAATATATTATAACTACTCATTCGTTAAAATCCACCGTCTTATGCCTGCGATCATGATTATTAGGTGAGTATTATATAGGGATACTACTGCCTCAGGCCTCGGGCGTCGATAGGCCCTGCAACTGTATCTTTTATCAAGTCGCTCTTCGGCCGGTGGATGCGGTCGCCGGTGAACGATAAAACGCTTCATCATGGCCGCAGTAAACTAAATTTAAACTCGAACTAACTCAATGGTCCCCGGTATCTACACTGCCATCCTGATGCGCTTACAGCTCAATAGCTAAGAAGACCCATGTTGTGTGTGAAAGACGTTTTTTGGGCCATTCGACAGACGATGTCGCAGCAGCAAGGAGTTTGCAGTCCACCACGGTATGTCTCCTTGTCGATACGAGGATGAATCATAACTGACAAGTCATGTACACCAGTACATATATAGTGCGTACTACTGTTCGAACGCCATATTATTTGTCCTGATGTAGCTCAGTGTCGACGGGCTACATTCTGGGTAGGCTTCAATTCTCATCTATCCCGGATGTCCGCTGTCAAACTCGCTTATCCAGACCTAATATGATTAGTATGCATGTTCACTTCATGAAGAGGTAATACATTTCTTCCATGATACGACTTGGATTTGATACACAATATGATATACAAAGTGGACGTTTTTACTTCGATCGCACTGGAGCAAGATGAAAGGCTTGTATATTGTTACAAGATAAGTACCTTCCCTTTATCATTCTCATCACAGATCTGTATAGTGCGTTCCGCTCCAGCACACATCGCCTTGGTTAATTAATCGACACTTGTTTTTCAGTGAGCTTTACCCCGGATGAGAACCAAAGTGTATGTGATAGGGTGGAGAGTTCAAAATGAGAACGGACGACTTACTCCATGACTTCGCCAGAAATGCAGGATGTTGGTCAATATTAGCTCAGGTACGTGCATTGTACATTCATCTATGTACAGCCTTGCTGAGGGCAGCCCACTTTCACTCACAGGGTTTGACATGATATTAGCCGTTTTCTCCGAATGTGTCTCTTCCTCCTCCCTAAGATATGCATGTTGCTGATCCGATTTATCCAGGGTTTTTCATCCTCAGAACATATGCGCTCTGGAACAGAAACAGACACTTGCTCGCAACCGTCCTGGGTATATTTTTTGTGAGTTCCCAATCCACTCACCATACACAAGCTAGTGGTAGATCCATCATCCAGCCGTTTCTCGCAGCATCCGTCAGCATTATCGTCGACACTACCGTCTCCGCAGCATGTACGCACTCTCACCTTCCCTCTGGTGTTCCATGATAACTGAAACATGCTGTTCACTTTCACAGATGCGACTAGCCCGATCCCTGGCATCACAGGGTGCTACCAGAGTTCAACCAGTGACCGGATTTCTATCCCATTTCTTCTCTTTCCTGTGTTCGGACTGGGTGACTATGAGCATATATGTGTACAAACACGCGGTGAGAGACATTCTCCGCAGGGCTGATGATACTCACGCTCATCCCTGCCATACAGAGCTGGCGGAGAAACCCAAATCGTCTGTACGTTGTCCTGGTGAACCATAACATATTCTATTATGCTTGCGCTTTCCGTGAGTTAACGCTTGTCCGGGCCTTTTTCTGTGCTCATACATGGTCATCCTGTTTCCTGAAGTATTCTCGGTAACGAACGTCTTCACATCGCTGCTCCTCCAGGTGCGTGAATATTCTAAAGGTGTTCTATGATGCGCCGTTAATTTTCTGCGCCACAGGACACCTACCGGACCGTTTTGAATAGGTATGCACCTCTGCATTCTACTGCGTATTCCTACTAATCACACTCGAAATGTACACCCATGTGCAGTTTCCAGTTCCTGATCCTTGCGACTGTTGCCGCGCGCATGCACATCCATCTCTGGCAGACAAGCCAACATCCACGCGGCTCAAGCGGCCTGGTTGATATTCCATTTTCTGACATGTCATTTGTGAATGTCACGGTGTGATGTCTTATCATGTGGTTTATTCAGTGTCTTTCATGGAGCGAGGCTTGGACTGTACGAGATGATTGGTGGGGGTTTGGTAGAGTTCGGCGTTACGTGTTGAATATGCAGGATGAGTCTGTCGCGGGGTAGATGGAGCATTTGGATATCCTTGATCTATTTCACAACTGTAGTTTCAATGATCATGTATACTACGACTAATTGCACTTGATCTCACACAGTCATCCATGCATGATTATGGTATATCGTCATTCAGTACTTATCGTTTTTGCACTCTGACCCTGTTGGTATTCGATCTCCTATGCCGTTCGGATATTCTATGTGGGAGCGGGTGGGTCATCACACTGGTACACTTAGGCTGGTACAACTTCATGCTCGCTTCGATCACGCGTAGAAATATATCAATTTTGTGTGCCTGTACATGGGACGGAGCGAGCTATGTGTAAGAGACAATCAAGTCACAGGGTTTCTAGCTGATTTTATGACTGGCGCGAAGTGGGAGGACGACCAAAGTAAAATCCGCAGCAGCAACAGGTAACTTCGTAAGAAAATTCTCCCCTCCCACCAGTTGACTGGTGTGTTTCTGTTGGTCGTGCTTGAGAGCCTTGCGCCCCTGCTGGTTGACATCCTATCTATTTGGTCCGACGGGCGCACCCCTGTAAACGTCACCCCGTCACCCCAGCTGCAAATGGAAGTCCATCACGTAAGTGGCTGTCCGTCACCCCACCTTTTTTTTTCCCATCCGCCATTTTTTGCCCTTGGCGCTGTCAGCGTCACCCCTTCTTTTTCCCATGAGGTGTCGTAAGTGGCTGTCCGTCACCCTCGCTTCTTTTCCCATCCGCCAATATGTCCTCTTGGCACTGTCCTTGGTGCTACAAGCATCACCCCGTCACCCTCGCTTATTTAGACCCATAGGCGTCACCCCGTCACCCTCCCTTATTTAGATCTATAGGCGTCACCCCGTCACCCTCGCTTATCCAGTATCTTGGGCATCACCCTCCCTTATTTAGATCCATAGGCGTCACCCTCCCTTATCCAGGCGTCACCCCGTCACCCTCCCTTATTTAGATCCATAGGCGCCATGCGTCACCCCATCACCCTCCCTTATTTAGACCCATAGGCGCCAGGCGTCACCCCGTCACCCTCCCTTATTTAGACCCATAGGCGCCAGGCGTCACCCCATCACCCTCATTTAGATCCATAGGCGTCACCCCGTCACCTTTGCTTATCCAGGCGTCACCCCGTCACCCTGTCCGAGTTGCTTCTGGATGCATCATCCCGTCACCCTTGCTGATTTAGACTTTAAGGCATCACCCCATCACTCTCACCTATTTATAATCAGGCGTCAACCCGTCACCCTTACTTATTTAGACTTTCAGGCATCGCCCTGTCCGAGTTGCTTGTGATGGACGAT